GCCCTTGTGAGCCAGGACTGCTGATAGATGATGTAGAGTGGCTTGGCCAGCTCCTTCGCCAGTTCCCTCAGCACTCTTGGGTGGATCCCATCCCGCCCCATAGACTTGTAAGTGTCCAGGTGGCACAACAGGTCGTTAACTGCTTCCTTCTGGATTATGGGAGATTTATTCTGCTCTCCTTCCCTATCTTCCAGCACTGGGGGCTGAGTGCCCTGGGAATAACCAGTCTGACTATTAAAGACGGAGGCAAAGAAGTCATTAAGTACCTAAGGACAGAATTAATTAGTAATAGGGAGTTAAATGGTTCTAAAATATGAATATGTGTACTTCCATTGGGAAATTAGCAAGTAAATATTTTACCTATGTTAAGTATAATTTATTTCAAATATTTAGACCTAAAATGTTAACAATATGTAGTAGGAATAACAAGACAGTCTCTTCAGTTATATTATTCTAAACAACTAGAGCAGTGCACTGTCTTTCATGCTTATCAGGTTTTCAGTTAGCTGAAGAATGGCTAGGTAGTGTTTGCAATGAAGGGGTATTTAACGCTGTTTCCAGCCCATTCACCGCTGTCATCCGTTACCAGCCACAGATACCTTTTCGGATACCTCTGTTGTCCTGTGAATGACAACATGCCTTGTAAGTCACAAATGTGCAAGAAGGATCAGTTTTTCATTATCTGACTTCACTGTGTCATGAAGTCTCTGTAAGTTAGAATTACTCTGTATCACTTGAGATGATGAATGAAGCTTGTAGAAAGATACGATGTAGTTCAAGCTCAGATGCTTAACCCTGATGCAAGAAGTGCTGGACACATTATTATGTGTAATGTTACAAGTTGTCTTAGATTATCATAGTGATTTTTCTAGTCTTGCCATTTTTTTCACTCTATTAGAACACTACTTTAGCAGTAGGAAATTAATCATTGAGCAGCTTTGTATCTCAGATTTCTCCTATATGCACTCCAAGACAAACATGATAAATGACACAATATATAATATATTCCCTTAAAGCAGTTGTATAAAGTGAAAATTTGTGTAAATACTGGACTGTAATGGAAGGACCACAGCGACTCTTTGTGTGGATGCAGAGAGGCAAGTACAAGTTGTTTTCTTGGCTCATTCAACAGATGATTTGTAGTCAACTCAGCTGGATGCAAATACGCGTCAAGGGGCTGCAAGTCAAAGACAGCCAGACATGACGCTGTTCACTTTGCCCTTGAGTGTTCTGTTTGCTAAATGAGGTGATGGGCCTTAATCAAAGTAGCCCAGTGGGTCAGGTAGGTTCAAACGGACCTCTGAATTTGAAAATACAGAAGAAAAATGAGTGAGAAGTACAGAGAAGACTGCAAGCTGTAGTTGAAACTTACTGTAGGTGTGCATATTCAGAGGGATAATAGAGCAGAATGGACAGAATAGTTCCATATGAATCTCTCTATTTTAAATTTCTTTTCATTTTAGGTCGCATGTTGCTAAATGATTCAAAAAAAGGGCCCCCTCATTTACACTATCGCCGCCCCTATGGCTGTGCAGTATTGAGCATCATGGATGTACTTCAGTCAATCTCTGAAATCAAAGAAGAGAAGGATTTTGTTCTCAAAGTTTACACGTGAGTACCTCCTAGAAGGAACAGAATTAGGAAAACCACTTTGTGTATGTTGGGTGATGAGATACTAAAGACGAATTAAATATCAAGGTGCCTAAAACTGCGTTTGCTGCTTTATCCTCCTTCACAACGTAAACTAGTGCTGTTGGTACTGGGGTTTGCTCCTTTATTATTCCAGAAGCTCACAGAAAATAATGAATATTATCACAGATGTTTCAGGTATATGAAATGCTTCAGAAATTGCTGAATATTGCCCAAATCTGTGACAAACAAATCTGCACTTTTATTAATATGATTTAAATCTACTAAGCTGGAAAAATGCTGTATTTCACCTGAGAAATATGCTGTATTTCACCTGATGAAGGGAATAGTTGCTCGTGCCCCATCTCTTATTCCTTATCAGTCATGGTGACCAACAAAAGAAGTAGAAAACAAATGAAGTCAACAGTGTATGACCAAAAAACTCAAAACAAGTCAACATTTTCTGAGCAAGTATCTTACGTTCACTTATGTGTGATTTTGAACTTTGAACTAACAAATTCTGGTTATGAAATGTGGTCTCACAGTCGTAATAAAGAGCCCACAGACAAACAGTCTGGAGAGTGCAGGGAATATTTAAATCTCCTGTCAGTGAGGATAAATACTGGCAAGATCTGCTTTGCAGATGGGCTGAGATACAGCTGACATTACTTTGCAGTCTGTGGCCACAAATTGGGTGGGGGGTGGGGGGGTATAGAAATTGTTATTCTTTGAGAAATGCATTCAGCAGCACAAAGTCTGACATTCAAGGGAAACTATAAATGAAAAAATGGTTTTCACTGTTCACTGGAAGATTCTTGGCTATCTCTTCATAAGTTAGAAATCTGTAAGTCCAAAGAAAAGTCTCTCAGAGTCAGCTCTTCCGTTCTTCTTTTGCCAACAGTTATGAAAACTGTGGCAAAAATGTCAAGTTAGAGGAAAGAAAATGGTCGTCTGTCTTCTCTTTGCCAATAGAATCTGGATAATTTCGTCACCATTCAGTTTTAGCTTATCTCGAAACAGTGGGTTTTGGTTATGTAGTTGATGTTGTATTGGCCTTGTAGATTGCAACTGCAACATTTTGTATGTTTACAGTAATTGAACGTTCTGAATAGCAGATCTCCATTTTGATGTCCTTTTAATACATCTTTGCCTTCTTATTCACTGAAAAATAGGAGAGAAAAAAACTGTAAAATACTGGACTTCTCCATTTCCCAGTGATAAAGTCATGCAGCCAGTTAGAGCAATCCAAAGTCCTAGTTCTAGAAACAAAAGAATCACAGGACAGAGAGCTTCCTTTTTCTTCCTCTTAATCTGAAGAGTTTTGTAAATGTGGATTCCCTTCACACCACCCAAAGTACCAGCTGTATCTGCTGAAATGGCGAAGTATGTTTTTAGCAGCTGTTCTTCACGTCTGCTTCCCCACACCCGTTGTAACATCAGCACGCAGCCGTTACTGCTTTCCCAGAGAGGACGGAGAGCCCATAACAGAATTCAAAACTGTGATCAGATACTTGTAAATTTTTATGACTATTATCATTTGGCTGGGTTGTTACAAGTCTTGTACATCATCGTTTTATGCTACTGCTGTTTGGAGAGCAAAAATCTTCAGAAGGGAAAATGGATATATCTAAAGGGCACCAGCTTATGCCTTTTGCAGCTTTAATAGCTGTTGGTCTTCCACGACACAATGTTTTCGTGGGTTTATCTGCTTGCATCTTCTCTTTGGACATTCTTTTAGCTAACCTACCTTTTCTTGCTTTGTAGGGTAAAACTGAAATGACAGCTTTTTGTCCTTTGTAAGTTTAAAATTGTATATGAATGCTTAAACAGCACTGAACTGATTTTCTTACCTGCTGCTCTCATTTTGATTATCATTAAAATGCCTCAGGCCAATTCAAAAATATCATAAAGATGAAATAAGGAGGGAGGTGTGTTTGTATTTTTAAAGTAGCAGTAAAAAGCATTCTTTTGTAACGCTAAAGCTTACAGCTGCCAGAAATGAGGCAGTCAGCATGCAGCCAGAAAAGCCTTTTCATGGCACGAAGCTGGAAAAAATTTGAGAGACTAAAAACCAAACTGCTGAAACAAATACATGATATTTCAATGGAGAATTTTGCTGGATCCACAAGAGGGAATGCTTATGAAAAAAAAAAGAATCATTTTACTTCACCAGTCTTTCTCAGCTTGCCTTATTATTTTTAAAGATTTATGTCTGAAAAATACTTATTTCTCACAATCCAGATTTTCCTGTTTGTTAATCCTGCAGTCATGTTATAATCTTACTAAGAGGATATAGTACCACAGCTCTAGTTATAAGCTCATTATGTAAAAGTTTGAAGGTTTGCTTTTATAGTTCTTTTGCGTAATATACATGTAAAATATTTTAAAAGTGAGGTGGAAACTGAATTTTTACTCTGTCTTTTTTTCCTGAGATCACTTGATTTCATATTTGTGTATGAATTTTTATCTTTAATGGAGTTTTTTGCTCATTGCACGTTACTCTATGTTTCAATCTTCCCATTCTCCTAAGAACTTCATGTGTTTCTCTTTTGTGTTATTTTTTTCAGTTTTATTTTTTGTCGTATTTTCTCTCAATCCTTCATTTTGCTCCTTCTCCAGCAGTGTAGCTCTTAACATTCCATCCTTTTAATGTGATGTATTCCCTGAATGCCTTTCCCTTTTGATACTCAGTTGTTGCTATTTGCCCAGCTGGACAAGAACGTACACTGCATTTCTGTCCCCATCTGTTTGACATCAGGGTCTGATGTGGTATGGCAGACGTTCCAAATGGTAAATTTGCTGTAGAACCAGCCAACCTGAAAAGATGATGGGTTGCTCAGGAGAAAATTCTTATTTAAACTAGAAAGACATTTTGTGATGTATTTGGCATTTAGACAAGTAAAACGTTAACACAATAAAATGCATCACAGGCAAGTATTTTCAGGCCAGCATTTCAAACTTGGGATAATATTCTTCTTCTTTGTGTTCAGGAAACGTAAAGTGCAGCTTATGTTGGTAGTTGATACAAAACTAGCTTTAAGCTATCTTTATAGTCCACTGATTTTGGGATAACTTTGTTCTGGGTTAATTTGCAGGCATAAGTCATTGGAGGCTGAAATCTATTTTAACTTGCACTCCAGAGGATGGTACAGCAACTAAAAAGTTACCAGAGGTTAGGAATTTTCTGTAGTCTCATCTGTGAGGATGGAGGATGGTACAGAATTTGTCCTGTAGGTTATCTCTCTGCTTTAAGGAGAATATTATTTGCAGTAGGATAAATGACTTTTACTGCCTTGGCAATGTGAAGATAATTATTATTTTTTCCTGACAAGTAAGCTGAATGTTGGTTAAAGTTTGCAGTTAGCACAGAACACCACAATTACTGAAAATGTTTTTGTACTGTCCATTAATGTCTTAGCCCTGTTGTGTTTTGGTTTTGAGAGATTGTTTGGGGGAGTGCAATGTCGTCAGTCTGCCATGCTGTTAAGCTCTGGAAGGTCACCTCAGTGCTGACCTGTCTTGATTTACTGTGTGGATATCTGATCTCTCCTCCCAAAAAGGATATAGTAGTTATAGAAGGTATGGAGTAGAGCAGCTAAAATGTTTAATGGCATAGAGTCATTTCTCTATGAGAGAGATTGAGAGGGTGGGGAGCTTCAGTTTGAAAAGGAGAAAAGTGGTGGTGGGAAGGGACATGACCAAGAATTACAAAATCGTGGTGGAGGGTAAACTGTTGTTCACAGAATACAACAGTACAAGAATTAGGGATGCTCAATGAAATTGTTAGGAGGTGACATTAAAAAAGGTGGAAGAAAGTGCTTTCTTTAGAAAGCAGGTAATGATCTTCTGGGTTTTATTGCCACAGGACATTGTGAAAACAGGCAGCATTAGCAGGTCCAAAGGGCATAAGACAAGTTTATGAACAGCAGGTCCATAAACAGAGGAATAGGAACAGACAGGGATGCACACTCCCATGTCGCTAATCCAGCAATCCCAGGGCAGGGTACATGAGCCTGACTGCTCATGTACCCTGCCCAAGTAGTATCTTCTATTGCCAGTGGGGGAAGCATTGGTTGTTTGGGGTTTTTTTATATTCATAGGTTCTTAACAATCAGCTGAGATGTCTGTTACCTAAACCCCTGGCAGTGAAAGGGAGAATGTTGAGAAAGATGGAGCTAAGATTTTAGGCGGTATAACCCCAGTCTCACTGCAGCAGGTGACCTAAGAATACAGCCTGGTCAGTGTTTCGATAGCATGCTGGGAGGAAGTAATTCTTAATGGTTTTTCTTCATTTTTCCTGTTTCACTGTCTGTGCTTCATGTTTAATTTATTCCAAGTTGTCTATGTTCCTTTTGCTTTTATAATAACCATCGTTGCAGGGGGTGTCAGTAAGTGTGCCATAACAGGCTTTGCAGGTTATCTCATTATTCTTGACAGTATATGGTTTTGTAATACTGAAGCTGTAGAAAATTACTAGCTACTACTTGTTCTAGATAGCCTTAATTCCTTTTGCCATACGATTCTTCAGTTATATAATGCCGCAGACAAAGAAATCCCTGCTGTCTTCACAGTAGTTGGTTTGTGTCTTACCCTGATTTTGCCAACATTATGTACTCTTGGAGGGAAACAAAAAAAGGAAAAAAGTGTTGATATGATTGGCAGAAGTTTTATAAAGTGATTTATTTCTCAAAACTCCTGTCTTTCTAGGAGTTGAAGGCTTATAGTCTTAATTTCTTTTTTCTTTTTCTTTTTTTTTTTGACTTTGAACAGTCAATAGAAGAGAACTTTAGTTTAAGCATTTAATTCAATTGCACTTCAGAAGAAATAAGATTCACTATTGCTGCTGAGTTAAGAATTGCTGACTTCATGGGGAATCTTTAAATCTTGCAGTTGTGATTGAAATAAGGCACAATTGAATTTAAAATGTAATTAGACTTGATCAACATACTGTTTTTTTATTTTCCTTTTTTTTGTTGTATGACCAATAGCACTGTTTGTGATGTTCCATTTTTATTTTTCAGTCAGATTATTATGCTAGTAAAATTGTCATTTCAGCTGTGCTTACACTAAAGTACTGCGTAACATCTATAGTGCATCCCTTCGTTATGTGGTAACAAGCTATAGCACTGATGGCACTTTTTTCCTGATGTGATTCCATTCAAGCTTAGTGAGTTTAGGAGGTTGGTTATACAGCTTTACGTATACTAGTGCAAATAAAGCTGTGTGACTTCAATGTTAAGATAAATAAAAATCGTAATTCAGGTTAATAGGGACCTCTGTAGTGCAACCTCTTTCTTGAGGCAGGGCCCGGCTATGAGACAACACGAGGCTGCTCAGGGCTTTATCTATTTGTGTCTCGATGTCCTCCAAGGATGGAGACTGCACAGCCTCTCTGGGCATCCTGGTGCAGTAATCTTGACTGTCCTCGTGGAAAAGCTTCTTCTGATATCCAGTCTGAACCTTTTTTGTTTGTGTGTATGCCTGCTGCTTTACATTGTCTCACTATGCACCACTGAAGAATCTGGCTGGCTCTTTTGTCTTAATAACTGCTTAATAACTGTAGGCCTTGCTGTTAATGTTCCCCCTCTTGCCTTGCCTTCTCCAGGCTGAAAAAGCCCATTCCCTCAGCCTGTCATCCTACAGGATGTGCTCCATCCATCCATCCATCCACAGGTCTCACTCCAGTTGTCTGGTTTGTATTAGGGAGTCTGAAACTGAGCACAGCATTCTAGATCCAGACTAACAACTGCCAAGTAATGTCTTTTCCCAACTGACAGTAGAAATATTTAAAGAAAATAGTAGTTGAACATTGATATGTTGTGTAAACAGTAATTTACCGAAATATAATTTTGAATATAACTTATCACTGGAGAAAGTTTTCTCTAAAAGGCAAAGACTGTATCTTTGCTTTGTGAAAAGGTTTGGGAAGTTCACTAAGCATACAGCACGAGTTACTTCTTGTGGGAATAAGATTTTGGGTTGAATAAAAGTTACAGGATGAAAAAAGTCCTGAAGCAGTAACAGGTGCATATAAAATATGATATAATAATGTAGCTCAGTAAGTATTATTTCATATATGTAGGGATTTTTTATCTTCCAAGATGTTAAGTTAGAAAAACACTTAAACAGCTGCAAAACCTGTATGACGCCCACATTTTGGTCCCTACCATTGTCTGAATACCTCAGGTTTGTCATCTGTGAATATGTAAGTTAATATCTAAACTCTGTAAAAGAGCTTAGGAGTTAGTTGTGGTCTAGAGACAAGGAAACTTAATGAAACTGAAGATCTGCCTGTGTCTTCTGAGGGCCTGATTGTACAGGCAGACCCAGAAGACCTCTAAAGGTGCTGGTGACACTGAATCCACTGCTAAACACAACAGCCATAGTCACTTTTATTAAAACACAGTTCACAAGAGAGAGGATTATATGGCTCATCTTTCAAGTAATAGCTTAATAAAGAGGGACACTTCAGTTCTTCACCTTGTGCACCCCCAGCCACCCCAATCTAATGTGTCTCTCTCATACAATAAGATGGTAGGCTATGGACTCAGAATGTCGGGCTTATTTGCTCGATTATTTTCTCAGTGGCACTGCAATTCTTGCATTTTTGGCTCTGGATCCTAAATGGAAGTGTGGCACTTCTGACTCAGGTGCCCAAGATCCAGAAAGAAGCAAGCATCCAGGTGTGTTCTTAATCTGTGTCCTGCTTTGCTGGCTCTCCACTCACATGGTGATTATTTTGTGAGTTATCATTAAAAGGTATCTGTATTTCTTCATGACTGGAAATTAAACGGAAACACTTGTCTCTAGTGCTCTCAGCCACCTCTGTCACAACATAATTTCCCCATTCTGCAGTGTCACTAGTTTCTCTCTTCAAAATCATGCCATCAGAGTAATGAGAATATCTATAGTTATTTACAGAGGATTTTTTTTTTTAATGTTGCTTCGTTTAGAAGTATTTATACGTAAGGGTGAAGGGCATGGAATGAAGCAGTAAGAGATACTGGTTTTTGACTTTCAACTACACAGTTATGCAGCCTGATCTTATTGTGATGGAGTAGCATCATGATGCAGTAGAGAGCGCAGCTCATTCTTTATCATAGTCATATCTTCTTGTTGTCTTTATAATTCTTATTAACTTGTATTTTGAAGTTAATATAATAAAATTTAAGGAAACAATCCTGAGAAGGGTTAAGAATGAAGGAGGGAATTGGAAAGTTAGCCATAAAAAAACAAACAGAAGGAAACTCTCATATAAGTGCATGCAATGTCATGCAGTTAAAGTCTCTGAAATTGCTAAGGGCATCGAAATGGTGATGGGAGATGTTGGGAGCTGTTGAATCCAGTAGTCCAACAGAGGTGAGGCTGCCACAGCTCCATGCCCCCAGGCGCAGCCAGGCGCAAGGCTGAGCCCGTATCCCACATGTGTACATACACACCGTACACATACAGCTGGCCACCCAGATCAGACAGGTAGAAAGCACACATTCATACAAACACGTACAGCACCAAAGGTCTCATCCGATTTTCCTCTCTGGTTTATCAGGGTATAAAGTTGTTAGTGGAAAACATATATCTAAATATGTGCACACACTGCAGATCTCTCCAGTCCCTGGTTTTAGATACTCAGCTCAGGCACAGGGCATGGCCAGGCAAGCATACTGACAGCAACCTGTTTACATGACTGGGCCATTTTATACCCTTATCCCTCTATTTCCCTAAGGCAGTGACCCGTTTCAGTCTTCAAAGCGTTGCAGAGAGCCTTTCTGGCTGACTCGTCTTGCTGGGTGTTAGACCTGGACAGCATGCTTAGCATCCTCCTGCCACAGCCATTGTTCCCCCATCTGCCATTGTTCCTCTTCTCCTTTGCGTTCAGGGTGAACCTGTAACTGCGTAACCTAGCAGGAAAGATGGAGTTAGTAAGAAATATTTAGAACAGCTTTGTTTGTAAGTGCTGCTCTTAAGTGGTGGTCTTGGTGAGATGTACATCCAGCTGGTTTGAATCCAACTGGTTGTGCAAGTGCAGTGCAGCCAGCTATCCTGCCTGAATGTTGATTGAACAAGGTCATAATTCATACACCAAGTTGCTGTGTATTATTGAAACTGATATTAACAACTGAATTTTTATTGGTGAAAAAATTTGAGTGGAAATACGAGAAATCTGTTGACAGATAATTATGTTGTAATTGCTATCCTAGAAATTTATTGAGGATTTACAGACGAGAATGTAACTGAAAATGAAATATAGCAGTATTTACAAATGTTTATTAAAATTACATATAGATGAATAAATAATTGTGAAATGCTCCTTCTGAAGACAACACACATACAGAAGAATACTCTGTGGTGTTATATATTCTTGTCCTGCAGTTTGGGGGGGTGTTGCATCATATTTCAAGGCATTCTGTAAAATACGTAAGTAAGCAAAGTCTTGTTGTAAATGCCTGAGATACTAAAAAAGTCAGGGGTTTATTTAGTGTTTCAAATTTCACATTTTATTTCTTGATTTTAAATTTTTTTTAATTAAGCACAAAAAGGTAATATACGGCAACAGGTAATTTCACCTTAAAATTAATTTTCTACATGCATAGAATTCATATAGAATGTCCAGAGCTTGCTTCATTCTGTCATAATATGAAGAGTGAAAGAATGGCTTCAATGACAGAGAAGTCACCACAGGCTCCAAAGCGTCTGTAAAAAGAAGATAACTATTAGGGAATGTTTTGTTTCCTTCTACTTTGACAAACAAGACTTAATGTGGAATTTCTCTCATTCATCAAAACCCCACAACCTTTCACACTATCTCTACAGCAAAGTTGACTTTCCTGTCCGAAGATGGTTCATCAGAAAGCTTTTAACTTGAATCAGTGTTCTTTTATTTTAGGTGTAACAACGAAAATGAATGGTGCCAGATTCATGAAAATATTATTCGCAAGTCCAGCACCAAATACACAGCACCCAGCTCAAACTATGGTAAATATTTACTTGTACATTTTTGTCATAATAACAGCTGAAGATTTCCTTTAGGAAACTGCGAATTACTTATAGCAGAGAAATTCAGTGAAATGTGAGATTATCCATAGCTGAATTTCCTACCTGTGATGATTTAAAAGTATAGCTAAAATACATTCATGTTCAGTTTACAGGTGTAAATCTGTATTGTGTCTGCCAATTTAAGCAGAAGTTGAAAGAAAAACCACACCTGATATCTTTCCTTCTCAGATATGGCTGACAATAATATTAATTCAGCATGCTATATTTCCTTCATCATTATATCTATAATGTTATTTTATCTCAAGAGAGGTCCGCAGTGGAGAGCGCTAGTGGCTTGCTACAATATTAGCTTACTCTGTGAGTCTTCATTTATTGGCTGTTGCAGTTACGGAGTATATCTGTGCCTGTGAAACTGCTGGCCCATGGGAGGACACAGCATAAGCAGCCATCAGCATTGGCAGAACTCCTTTAGAAGTTTTTTTGTGACACTGACTTAAGTTACAGTGACCAGACTTGGCTGCACAGGAATTGAAGAATTTAGATTTTATTCATCAGAATTTCCCCGAGTAAAACTGTCTTCCCTTTCAATCCTGTATTCCCTTCAAAAATCCAGGTATAACACGTATCTGAGGCTTACTCTTCTGAGGATACCATGCATCCTTGTCAACAGAAGCAAAGCCAGAGGTTAAATTTGTCTAACATACTTGTCTGACTGTTCAGAAAATTCAGACTGTCCAGAAAATACCTACAGATTAGTTATCAAGAAGACACTCTGTGATAGCTTCAGTACTAAATGTTTCATTACATAGTTGAGGAGAATAACTATAGAGTTTGTGCCACCTTTTAAATCCATTTTTATTTTTCTAGTGAATGACAGATAAATATGGAAAGTAAATATTTTTTATGTTATCTTGTTACCTCATTTAATGATTTCTGTAGTTCGCTAATTCAACGGTATCGTTGCCATTCTGCTCCAAATGAACCGGCCAGTAAGATATAGTTCTGCTTAGGTACAGCTAGTTTTGCATTCATTGCTGAGGGTGTGATTCATTGGCATACTGCTGTCTGAATACTGGTATTGTCTTAAATTCACTTGTTTGCATATTGAGATATTGTAGTGGAATATGCAGTTCACGCTCCCACAGAAGATACTAAGCCTATCAGTAAGCTAATAAAACAGTTTTCAGGTTTGGAATTTTATTATATGCAAAGCTGGTCTCCTTCCCTGCAGTTCCTCATGTTACAGTGAAGGTCATCCACCACTTATCATTAAGACGTTTTCCTGAGTTGTTTATAACTGTGAAAAATTGGACTGTTTGCATTTATTTCCAATGCCAGGTATCTGCCTAAAACTTCTCTTTTTTTTCAAGCATGAGGTTTCTCAAGGAGCAGAAAAAAAGGGAAATATTAGCTTTCTACCCTTGCCTTTGGCTTTTTAAAATAATTATTTCAGAGATTTCATGAAGATCTACTGTATCTCTGAAGTAGGAGGTTGAAACTTGGTGGAGGTATTGTCCTGGTGGGAGGGGCAATATTGCATACTGACATGATTTAAGCATAAATAATACAATTTGGGCCTGTCAAAATCTGCCTTATGGTGAGAAAATGCTCAAATCACAAATGTGATTTTTCCCTAGAGAAAAGCTCTCTGGTTGTTTCTCTCCCCACCATCCCAGCTCTTGTGTCAGATTAGTCCTTCAGATCTGCTGCAGGGAATAATAGAAAACAAATGGAAGGATAGGCTGGGTGGAAAAAGAGGACTGGAGCGTAGATTTACAGACCTCTTGGGGAGAGCAAGAAGCTACGCAGAAGTTTTTTGGGGTGGAATATATGGGAGAGTATCACAGAAGTAATATGTGTGATATATAATAATATATAATAATTCACTTTAATATAATAATAATCAATATATTAATAATAGTATGTAATAATATAATAAACTAAATTTAATATTATAATAATACCATGCTGGAAAGTTACATATTCTGTTACCTCTAGTGACAGATTTTTATAGATAATAGATTAAATCTGGTACCATTTATTAAGTACTGGACGTGTTGGGTGTGGAGAGGTCTGAACTTCCAACTTGATGATCCAAGTTAGAAGTTGCACCAGTCCTTTATGCTGGAATTTGTGGAATTTATTTTTATTTGTTTGGTTTTAGTAGCAAAAGAAAATATAAAATGAACACATTTTTCTCTCAGTGGCAAATGTAGTCAAGACTGATTTCTAGTGAACTTGGCTCCTGTGTTCTGTTAAACCTTCTGTAGCGCACACACACAGACATAAACTCATACGTGGTAGGGTTTGAATTTTTTTCCATGGTTACAAGGCCTCTGTTTTCTCTGCAGTGCTTTGCAGCACTCTTCTGCCTACTTAGCTGGACAGTTGCAAGTCCGTGTTTTGGCAGCTTTGGAGTACATAGACGCTGATGGTCCACCTGGCTGGTTGGCCTCCCTTTTCCTTTATTTTAAGGCTTTATAGTCTTTCTTTTCATCACAACCCCAAGCATTCATAAAACCGATACAATCTTCGTGTTGTCTAGATACCTACTTATTTGCCAAATTTGGCTGAAGCCAAACAACAGGCTTGAAAATTATTTCAAGGGAAGAGCACAGAAGGTGGGTGGGAAGTACCTGGTATTACTGTTTCATTCCCCTAGTAACTTGTCTAACAAAATGGCAACTACATGTTGTTCTCAAAGCCCTTGTATATTAGGAAATAGCAGAACTTTAGATGGCTAACGCAAGAATATGTAGACAAGGCAGCATTTGCTTTTGTATGTGTGGTTCCATGGAGTGAACAGAGAGAACAGAAAGAACTATTGACTAACTGTCATTCAATGAATGAGATAAAGATTGTGGAAAATTACTATGTGAACATAATTCGCACTGGTATGTGAAACTGGTAGTGTATGCTCAGCAGATGAGACTTAGCTTACATGGTTGAGCTTAATCCTAGCATTTTCTGGTATCTTAATGCTTGACTTTGTAACTTTACCAATACATTATCCTCTTTTTAGGGGCGTAGTATGCTATAAATGAAAAGCAACTAGAGAAAGCAATTGGACTGAGATTAACTGTGTAATTACTCCTAGTCAAGCTCTTCAGTTGATATACAGAACAAAGAGTCGCAATGAAAGAGCTACTTGCTGAGCCTGTCTTACTCTAGTTTTCTGAAGTCAGTTTGACCAGTGGGTACTCCTGAAACATGTTGAGATACTGAAGGGAATTTCATTAAAATCAACATTTTTGTGAAAAGTAGTTAAAGAACAAATGCAACAGACATGCTTTGATATTAGTTGTTTTTTAATGACATTAAGTGGGATTAAGGCACTCTAGAGATGTTCTAGGGCGTTATGTGATGTGGTAGTTCAGACAGAGGTGGCATTGCTCATACAGGTGGTGTAACCTGCTACATGTGAGGAACAGAAACAATGCTAAGTACTTCTGTAACTTGTGACATCTCTGCAAAATTAAGTATTCTATTTTTTTAAAATTGTACTTTACTATAGTTTTGTGCTCTTAACTGGTCCCTTAAAGCAGTTTTGTTTCTTTCGTTTCAGTTTTAAATTACTCCAAGGGAGACAAGAATTCTGTATTTATATATTTGTATTAAATTAACTGTGGAGCAAAGCATTGTTTTACCTGCATGCCTTGTATATCCAGACATCTAATTCTTAGCTCTGAAAAAATGAACATTTTTTTTTTTCCCAGGACTTATAATATCTCTTCAGCTTCTTCGTGGTGACATGGACCAGATTCGAAGGGAAAACCCCATGATCTTTAACAGAGGTGTTTCTGTTACCAGGAAGCTGGGTTTTCCTGATGTTATAATGCCAGGTAAATGTAACAGGTCTAATCTTAAAATATTGGTCATTTTTTTTCTCATACTCTCCCAGACGAGCAATACTGGGATGGGTGCTTTACTTGAAGAAGACAAATAGTAGAAGAGTTACCTTATTTATCAGTAATGCTAATTCCAGATTCAGGGAGGCATGCTAAAACATTTTAATCAATGAACAAAACATTTTAATCAACAAACATTTTAGTAATAGAAGGCGTTAAGTTCACATGTATAGAAGGTGACATGGAAAGATAGCTTTGATATCCCCCCCACCTCCCCAGCGGTTTAGATATCCCTCATGCATGTTCAGTGTAGAGATGTTTCTTCCACAATGCGTGAAGTTTCTTCTTCCCAGTAATCCAAAGCCTGGAAAAAGAGTTTCCACTTTGCCACATTGATGTTTGGAGTTAGTTTGGTCCTTTTGTAATGGTTGACAATACATGAGGCTGAAAATCTGGTCTGATTTTCCCGCTGGCCTCACGTAGCATCTAGACCATGCAACAGCTGTCTTGACTGAAGCATTGCTGTGCTCTTTGCTTCTTACGCTTGGAGCAGCAGCTTGAGATGCTTCATGTTTTGGCACAAGTCAAGGTAGCCCCAGCATAGCCAAGAGTTCATTTAGGGAGGAAACCGGAACCTAGCCAGTCATGCAATCAACAGATATAAAACCTGGCATTATACTGTCTTGATTTTTACAGCGTAACAACAAATAGGCTTACTAATTATATTGCATGTGTAGCATTGGAAATACTGCCTCATTGCTATGCGTCATAACCAAGACCAAAGATGACTTTGCAAACATAGGAAATTTTATGAAAGCACAATTGGAAAAGTATCAGATTATATTACTCGAAAGACTGCAGTGACCCATCAGTATCAAAAGTAGTTGTTGTAGCCTCCAAAATGAGGAGCTTTGGAAAGCACAATAAAGATAGGGAGTAGGTGGGAGAAATTTCTAGAAACTAAAGTAAAAGGATTTAGAACTGAATGAGTTTTATTTACTAATGGACTTGAAAATAACAGGACTACAGCAGCAGAGGATGTGGGCTATAAAGCCAATTACAAATTTTAGTCTTGGTGACCTTATAGCAGTTCCAGTCTTAACCCAAAGCAATCAAACAGAGAAAAGATTAAATATTGATTGTTGTTATGCAGACACAGCTGCTGCAGGGTGATCTGCTGTAATTGTGATCACAGCTGGATGTCAGCTACAATAGCTAGATCACAGCTAGGAAAGTCAACATCAAAAATAACATTTATATACCTGTATAAGTGGACTGATTCCCCTGCAAGAATTGCTTTATTCTCCATTTTTGTGTATAGAGCTGTCTCTCAGGTGCTTCAGACCACTGAATTTTAGCAAAGATAAGGGATAGCTTTATGGCCTCTGCATTCCCCCTAACTGTTTTTTCATTTTCTGGGCCCTAGCTTTTTCTCCAAGCTGGCATGGTGGGCCTTTCCTCCGTGTGCTTGCGCTGTTTTGGGCAAGGCTTTTATCCAGGGCATGAACAAGCAGGTTAGCAGTTTTCATGCGAAAAGTGCTCCTACCCTAAACTTTTAAAAGTCTCTGTTTGTAGCAGCTAATTCAGATTTCCAAAGTTTGTTTCTCTCTCTAATTAAGAACTCTTTTGAAAACACTGCCTCAGCGCAAAAGATGTCAACCAAATCATAAGTATATTATTATGACTTCTGTGATATTCAGCTGAGACCTTGGACATTTAAGTAAATTAAAACCAGATTCCACAGCATATATTTGCAGCACTCCCGTTGTAAGACTCGCTGCACGTGTACAGTAGTGATCTTCATGGCTCTGGTCAGCCTGTCAGTTTTTCAGAAGGTATTCTTCAAAAGACCGCAGTTTCTTGGTAAGCTCATTTTTGTGAGAACTACAATTCCTTCTGGACAAAACACAGGGATTTTAAGATGATAATCTGTTTGGAATTGGGCTTCTATATATGTAGATCTGCTCAAAATATGGAGTGATACAAACAAATGTGTGGAAGGACCACCATTCTGCTGTTAAATGCTTCCTGCCCCTCTGGAGGTGCTGGACACCCAGAACATCTCCTCGATTTGGAGGAGGCTACAAGAGGTCTGCATATATAGAGTGTAGATGCAAAGCTTTACGCATTTGTATTTGGAAAAAAAATGGCTTACATTTGTGGAGAAAGACAGTTTGTAAATGTCTTTAAACACCAAGTTAAGAAAAGAAAGGCGGCCGTGGTAGTGTGAATAGAATTTCACTGTAATGATAAATTAGGGCATTGCCAGAGTAGAGATGAGATGTGGAGGAAGAGGTAGCCATGAATGGTGCTCTAAACAAAAATTTTCATTATCCTGGGTGTTCTCCAGGATAATGAAATCTCTGGAAAATTTAGGAGATTAAAATAACATGTAACTTTACTGATGCAATGAACAGTGTTCATGCTAATTACATACCAGTGTTTTTGTAAATGAAAACATGTTTGACATTATTGAAGTGACAGCAGATACTTACCTGTTGTTTGCTTTTAAAACAATAGATCAAACTGGGGTTTGAGTTTGCCTGATGTCCAGGATAGAACATTTGGGTAGAGTAAGTTATCTTTCAGGTGGATTAGCCAAACTACATAAAGAAGAAATGCCTATCAGTTTACTTTGTGTTTATGTTGTTACAGCCAGAATCAAACATTATTTCTTAGCTCTACTAGTATTGTCTGAAGATAGAAAATATTTTGGTTTTGTTAAAAACTAAAAAAAAAAAAAAAAAAAATCCAACCCTGTCATGCATGTTAGCAATTCTCAACCATGTCTGCTGCTTTAATTGTCTTCGTCAAACTACCTTTTCCTTGCTTTGTTTCAGAACTGTTTCTTTCTCATTAAAGACAGAGTTTCCACTTTCAGAAAAGAGCACAGAAAGTTCATGACTTATATTTTGCATGTGGATGCAGATTTTTCAAGGCAATGTGATTTTAGAAATGTTTTTATGAATAAATTAATAAAGGGTATGTGACTTAGATAAATCTTCTTGGTCATAGGTTTTAACACTTTCATTTTCTTTTTTAATAGGAAATCCTTTCACACGTACACATCTTAACCATTAAAATTCTGTAGCTGTGCCTTATCACACAGTTTTCCTACCCCATTTTGTTTTCAAAACAGTAGCATTAGTCCCTGTATCAAGCCCTCTTTTTCCCTCGCTCAGATATGACCAGCAGAAGTGGCAGCTGCTCATCATTAAGAAATAAAGTGAAATCAGTCTTTATGTGCTTATATGTTGCATGGCTATGCAGAACAAGATTACTATCCGACAAAATAACCATGCCTTTCTTCGTTTCTAAAGATAAAATGTTCTTTGTTTCCTAGTATGTTGTGATCTGAGAAGAGCATTGTAGAGACTTTAATTCTCTTTTTTGTCCAAATCAGAAGGGATGAAGTCAAACCAGCCTCATGAAGAGGTGTGGTGGGTTTTTGTTCATTTGTGGTTTTTTCTTTCCTTTTCTAAATTGTGACTGGGTTTAAGACCGTCCATCTGATCCTGACAATTTTACCTTTCCCCAGAGATAAAAGCAATGAGGCATGTGCTGCTTGCCTTTTGGATTGCAACTTTATTTGTATACAGAACTTGCTGATCAGAAATCTGTTGCATAGGCATGGCGTTTGTCAGTTCCCCAAAGGACATCCCTTCCCTTCCCCATGTGCTGATAAGTATTCTGTCTTTTACTTTGATCCTCTGATGAAAAGTGCATGCTTCATCTTCTACTTGTGAGTGATGTTTCTTTCTCTTTTTTTCTCTCTCCTTGTCTTAATTTCCTGGCTTCTCTCCCTTCCCTTTATTCTCTCTCCTTTCTTTCTGATGCAGAGATGAAGATAGTTGGGTGTAAGTTTCTGCTTTTCTGTGTAATGTCTGCTTATTGCTTGCTTTTTTCCATTTTTGTGTCTTTCATGGAATGCTGGGGATTGGTAAAGAGAGCAAATCATGACATCATAGGGCAGCTTTGGTAACAGAGAGGCATAGACTTTGTCTTATCAGTCTCTCTTCGTATCACAGTGTTTCAGACAAATGTAGTAGCTGTGACAGCTGAACTGGTAGCAAAGGTGAGAAACATCTCAGCATCTGTTCTGTCAGTGAGCACAAAGCCGTGGCAAAAGTTCTCAGAATGTTCATGGCAAGACAGTCAATGAGAATAAAAGTAGAATAAAAAATATGTCTGTCATTGATAAACTTGCAGAAATGGAAAGTTAAAATACTAAGCTGGAGGAGATAAGAAAAAAAACGTATTAAAAATCAACTTAACCACTATTGAAAGGAAACTGGTTTAGGGAAATAAATTAATTTAAAAAGAGCATTGTATAAATTCTTTTCTAGACATAGAACAATGGATAGAAAATAATCTAGCAAGTATTGTTTGTTCCTTTGCCTTGAAACAATTGAGTGTTCGGTTCACTGAAAGCTAGGGGAACACACAGAGTTAAACTTGCATAATGTTCTCGTTACAGGGAAAAAAAAAAGTTAATTTGCCATACAGACAGTAGATTAAAAGCCTTGTTTCCCCTTGCTGCTGTAGTATTACTCCCAATAATGTTAATAGTTTGCATACTGTAACTATTTCAAGAATATAGGCCTTAAAAAAAGTAGTGACTGACTGGTGAAAGGGCAGAGAAATAAACTGCTGAAAAGGATCTACCGTGATTCCTGGAGACTGTCTGACTGTACTGGGCTCCTGAATTTTAGCAGGCAGGTGGTCATACAGTGGGCAATACCGCAGAGTTTTACACCAGTGTCGGAGGTGACTTCACTGTTAAAGCAAGGGAAAACCATGCAGCGTGAGGCCCGGCACTTTAAATCTTTTGAGACATGATGGAGAGCAAGTCCACAATGGTTAGCCAGAAAGAAGGCCAGAGAGTGTTGGAGACCCTTCCCATACAGCGCACTTGGTCAGTTCTTTCCTTTAGTCTGTTTGGTTTGAAAAAGAAACGAGGTGATCACAAAGCTCATTGTGGGCCTCGTTCCGTTAACCTGTTCTATGTTGAAATTGCCACACTTCAGAAGTAGTTCGATGTTTTTCATTTGGAGAAAGTTAGAATATAAAGTAAGGGCATAGTCTGCTGTCTGAGATCAGAATCCAATTACTGGCACCCTGCCCTTGTGCCATGGCCTCCAAAGGTGCTGCAGAGAGGAGATCCCCACCAGGGGAACGGCTGGTTAAATGGGGTACTCCTGGCCAGACAGAAGAGCCATCACCATTGTAAAGAGCTAGAACAAATAATAGCCAAAGCACATTATAACACTATCCATGAATATAAGTATTCTACATTTTATAGTTTGTCTCAAAGATTTGAGTTACTTGCTGGACTGAGTCTCTTACAGAGTCAAACCCTTAGTGTTTCAAATTGCTGTAACTTCACTGAAGTCAGTGATTTTACGCTAGCTGTGGGCATGTTCATTTATATATAGGACATAAACGTATGGTTTTGGTTTCTCTTCATAAGCCATTGTGGAAGATACTCTTGAGTGTCCTTCTTGCCCATTCTCACGCTGGGGGTTATTGGCACTCTTCTGTAAAACGCCAGTATTTTCAAAAAGTTGCTAAACCCAGTGATGTCGAGTAGACAGGATATCACAGTGTTGGGCCCTCAGTAAATAGGACCATCTCAACAATTCAACAAATACAGACAGACGTACTAATTTTTGTAAATAAATTGTTTTTTATATTCTTGTTTCATATTCTGCTTAAATTGTCAAAGACTAAACTTTCAGTTTAAAAAAATCCACGGAAGGTTCTCTGGATAATCGAAATACAGTTATTTTATGAAGTTACTTGAAACTACACCTGCATACCCTGAATGTTGTGAGCTGCCCCTTTTCCCCAGCTTACAGGGATATGTTACAAGTCCTTTATGGCCGCACTAAGTCATAAAACATTAACCTCTTGGAAAACAAATTTGCTGGAATCAAGATGTCAGAGATTTGCTTGCCTCTTTCTCGTGTAGGAGTTTACATGAATGATGTAATCTTTTTTTGACACAGTGTTCACCTGTATAAAAACAGGGACCATTCCTGTCCTGAGTGTACAAAATCTTTTAGGATCCCTGAATAAAAAATGTTAGATTAAATGTGGATGGTTGCTGTAAATAGTTACTACGTCCGGTTCAAGTAACTGGTTAGTCTTCTGCTGGAAAACCTACAAATCTGATTAGGATAAATCCCTCATTCGAATACATCCTAGACAGTTATTGGCCCTTGGACTACTGAATGTTATTAAGTCTTGAAAATGATGAACAAGTATTTGGAAGGCTTCCGGTGCATTTCTTTATATTGTAAACACAAAATTTATATCCAGATCATGTAGCCTTTTCCACCACTAGTTTTTTTTCTCCATTACCATGAAAATAGTTTCAGATGATGTGAGAAAAGATTTCATATCAATATAAGCGAACCCCCCAAAGCTATAATTTATGATTTATAACTTAAACAATTGTACATTTGATGTAAGGCTTTGTAAATAGGTTAAAACAAACAAACAAAAGAACCCGCCTCCTAAAGGTGAAGGGAGGGTAAAGAAAGAGCTGCATAACACAATAGAAAAGAATTCTTTTTTTATTACTGAGAAAAATACTGTAATTCAAGATACTTCATGAAGAATTAGTAACTGCGTATGTTAGAACTGCATGTATTTTATGCTAAAAAGCAGTTTATATTTGGTTTCAAATTGAAAGTAATTGTAGAGAGATGGGCTTTATAACAAATGCCATTCTGAAAACTCTCATTAGGTTTTCAGTTCATCCTTGACAGCCATCTACAGAGAGACCTGAGTTTCAAATGTCATCTGCAGGTTTTAGTCTAGAAATACTCTGGCCCACTAGCCTGCTAGCACTTTTTTATTCCTGTACTAATGACGGGAGGCCACAGCTGACCCAGTTTTATAATCTGTGCTGCTCTATTTGTGAAGATGTGAAGTTGGTGTAGCGCACTGTTTTTCTCTCAAAATGCAAGAGATATTGTCACTTCAGAGCCAGTCCTGTTTGTAGTGTAGTCTGCCATGCAGAGAGCAGGAATTGTCCGGTTTGTTAGACAAGTTCTTTATTTATCATTTTCTTTTTACAATCGAATTGCATATGGGAAAAGCTCTATCTGCCGAGATTTTTAACTTGATATGTAGCTGTCATTCTGTGTTAGAGCTGACAAGGATCACATCTTGATCGTACTGATCACACTTTTTGTTTAGTCACATGCAAAGTGTTTTCTCTAGCCTTGCAATCTGCATACTCAGCATTTTTAATAAACTGCTCTGTGTTCAAGCATTTGTTCTAGTTTTTGTGCATCCCATTAGTGCATCTGAGCTCAAATCTCTCAAAAACAGTTACAGCTGGAGAAAAATGGCTTGCAAGGACTTGACAAGAGATGTTAACTAATATGTTGGGGAAAGGAGATTCTTCTTTGTAGTAAGGCTATTTTCACTGAAATAAACAAAAGTCTGTGTTTGTAGTTTAAACTCTGGATTTTCAAGAAACTGATGGGCTCCATACGTGATAGTTAAATGCTTTCTGTCTTTGCTAGATACATTTACTTTTCTGTTTTTACTATATGTAATGGCCTTTTCTATTTTTTTAAGATTCGATAGACAATATTTTTACAAGAGAAGGTGAACCGTTGTACTTCACTACGTACTTTTTCCCTTCTTTTATCTTTGTTTTGATGCAAATCCACTTTTTTAGATTCCTCTACCCCTACCCCAAAGGCATTTTTTTTAAATTAGTGCAGTAATATCCCTCCTGTTAAGTTTAATGGAAGATAAGATGTGATGTATAACTAAATTCCACCTTTAATTTAGGCTGGAAAGTAATTTGCAATCTGACATTGGACTTTGTGTAGCCAGACTGTCTTCCAGAAAAGAGGTCATAAATAGGAAGCTGCAATATGCTAATTATAGTGAGTACGATTAATTTCTATTAAGAGTTATAGCATAGAAATTGAGTCTTTTTCCCATGTTGTCCAAACTGCTGAGAAAAAAGGATGTTAAGCAGAAGGATTTAAAAACAAAAGTCCCTACTTAAATTATCTTTTGCAATGAGTTTTGTATTTCCTTGATAGGCCTATAGTCGACACACAGGTAGCTTAGCTTGATTTTATACAGCAAGGTAGTTTATTCTGTTGTTGTGGACTGTGGAGTGTTGCATTTGATGACTTCTGTTTGATGAGAAAAAAGAGATCAAATATTTGAGGTCTTTCACCAGCCTCTTGCTTCGTCTTTTTCCTGTTAATGGCCCATAGCATTTTCAGGCCTCTAACTGTGAGGTGTTTCCAGCAGTCAACTCTGTGTGAATCCACAGTGCGAGTGAGGTTGGTGGAAAAAGAAGGACATTTTGCATACAGATATCTATTCATAAAGAGTTCTAGCAGAAAGCACTGAATGTCAGCTACAGAGCTCTATTTTCCATGCTTAAAAGGTTGTACTTATCTCCAGAAATAAAAATGCAAGTAAAGACAGGACTGAAAGCTTTTATTGTTTGTCCCTACAGTAGATTAAGGAACAAATGCTGTGAGGTTATAGACTTCAAGAAGAATTTGAAGTGCGTTTTTGACACAAAAGCATATCCCTCACTGCCTGAAAGCAAATGCTGCCTATTTCATTGTGCTTCTGATTAATGAACAGAATTAACTGCATCAGCTTCTCCAAGTTCTGGAGTGGAAGAATCAGACATTCAAGGAGTATCTGCTTTGCTGGATAACTATTCCATTACTTCATTATTTAGTCTTTTGAGGCTGCTTAACAAAATACTTGCCTTGAAAGTGTTTTCAATTTTTTGTATTTTTATATATTGTCCTTTAGTATGTTTGCTTTTGTGGCAAATAAGTAAAAAGAAGTAGTAAGTGAGCCATCAAGAAATGGTGATAGTAACTCAACCTTACAGAAAAATAGGTGCTACCTGCTATCCTTTTGGTACATGCTTTAGTATTGACTTGCATTGGTTTTGAACGTAGTTTTCCATAGATCAGATTCTTAAAAAAAATAAATGAGCCTAAAATCTGTCAAATTCAGGATAACAAGATGCTGAGATAGATGCTACCATTTGTATTTCTCAATATAGTCATTTGCTCTGAAAGCTCTTGAAAATGAGGTAGTGTGACATTGGCAACTATCCATACTGCCCGCTTTTTATATGCATGCATATGGACACCAGAGGCTAGCCAGAAATCTCACAAAAAAAATTCAGTAATTCCTTCTTAATCCATCTGAGCTGAATTACAACCAGGTTTCCAAAAAGGCTGCTTTTATTTTGTTGTTATGATAAAAAGAAATTATGAAAATATAGCAAATACTTGAAGAAGAGCTAACTGAACGTAATTTTTTGCTGATCATCGCAAAAATACTCATTTGTATTAAAATATGTTGGAAATAGGAAGTCTGATGTCAATGATGTTTTGTCAGGCTTAGCCTGATACTTCCATAGCTGCTAACTTGGCAAAGTAGGAAAAGGGTTTTTCCCTTCCCCACTTACTCACGATAAAAGCAAGTACTGATTCAGAGTTCACACTTAATAAAGGCATTACTAACAATGGTCTTATTTTTATGCATTGATGTTAAAAAGTTCATCTTTATTAACAATTAACTTGCTGCTTGGAATGATTTGGGCATTCGCCATAGTCTTGCAGAACACAGAAAACGGTTTGCAGAATCAAAATATGGTGCACACAGGCACTGAGCCTTCCGTGTTGAATTTAAGCATGTGACTCCGCTCTCTTATTGTAGGTGATATACGTAATGACTTATACCTGACATTAGAAAAGGGAGACTTTGAAAGAGGTGGGAAAAGTGTGCAGAAGAACATTGAGGTGACCATGTATGTGCTCTATGCGGATGGAGAAATCTTGAAGGTAAGTGCTTTTTTTCCTCTTTGAGCTTCAGGTGCCATCTGCTTGCTCCATCGACATGTTCTCGTATTGTGTTGTCTCTGATGCAAGGGAAGTGCTAAACTAAAACTTACTTGTCTTTTTTTTAGGTAAGTTTTTAAACTATATATTTAGGTAAGTTTTTAAACTATATATTATGATGAAGGCAGTGGTCAGTTATAAATCTGAATGAATTTGAGCACTTGGGGAATATGGGAACGTGGAATATATGGAATGGGAGTAGGAGACTTGGAGAAAACATTCATAAACTGAAAAGCTTATGTAATTTCAAAATGCAATGTCAGTGGCTATAGTAAAAAGAAAGTTTAGTGTAACTGTAGTCAGAAAGAACTGAAGAGTATATGACAAATATCTAAATCTAAATAATGTGTCGTACAACATGGTGAAATGTGACTACAAGAGAGACTTTAAAATCTGAGTTGTTGGCATTACGGTACTAAAAGTAGTTTTGGACAATAAATTTGAGTTGCCTTGTTTCCAAAATCTTGGCTTTCACCCTGGGATGGCTCCATTCCAGCTGTGGATGGTAATGTTTAATGTTTTTCTTTCTTCCTCTGTTGTTACTTTCAGTATTATTGAAGAGAAGAAGGTAGATAAGTTAGCTTTGCATGGGGTGGGACGGTGTGAGGATAGAGAAGTAAATGGAAAGTATTTTGACATAAACATCTACCAGAAATAACTCTTGTACCTTTTTTTTACCCCACTGCAATAAAATGACCTTTGTAGCCATTACTGTAGGAGAGTCTAAACACCAAAGTGCTTCTGTGCCAAACTCATTGCCAGAATCTTTTTTTTTTTTAATTGAAAGGGGCACTTTTCCGTTATTACTACAGTTGCTTGTGATTTCATTAACAGTAAAGTATATCACTTGTAAGGAACTGGTTTGTGCTCGTAGCTGTTGCAGGAAGAGAAGAATCCTTTTCTGTTTAATTGCATTAGGCATACCTTTCAAATTGAGTCACATATTTTGAATCATCGCTTTATTTCACAGCAGTCTGCCAAAGACCAGTGCTGGTGTTTACCCTCCAAACTGCAATATCAGCATCTTCAAATGCTAACATACATAATGGTAGCTAATTATGCTGTAATGTATGCTGTGGCTAATGATGAAGTATAAAAGCCATATAATGTCTAGACATTATCAGTCTTAACTTCTGTGGTTCTGGTTGGAATAGTCATTCACAGATACCAAGTTATCTTTTTCTTACGCTTGCCTGTCATTACTACTGTAACAGCACTTCAGGGCTTTAGGTGGGATAGCGGAACAGATGTGGTACAAAGAATAGTAAACGGTGGTCAGTCCACTAAGGAAAAATCAGGTGAACATTTGTCATAAAGGAGAGACTCTACATATAAAGGAACTTCTGTGTTTTTTAAATTTTAACCACATATTTCAAAGAAAATCTTCATACTAGTTTTTATGTTATTGCTCCTCTGTAGAGTTGTAGTCAAAGCAACAAAGAAATTTGGTTTAAGTCAGGGAGATCTTTGGTTCATGATGCTAATAATGCCTAAGATCCACTGTATTTCAAGCATACAGACTCTAGAATTTTTCTACATAGGAAATACTCAAAGGGGTAAGCCAGCATATGTACTGAAAAACAAATAAAAGGGCCATCAAGGACAATAGATACTGAACTCTTCTTCCCTTTAATTTGAACTCCTTCCCACTACTTAGGTACCATTGTGTGCTCTCTTAACTGCAGAACGGAACTAGAAAAATAACATCTAAAACTGAGTATCTGTTGAACTATATGCAGAAGCATAGTTCGAAAGTGCTAAATGACAATTTGAAGGAATAGTGACATGTACATGAGAGAAAGAAGCAGCTACTTAGACTAGAGGTTGCAAACTAATTACATCTCCTCTTTTTTTGTCACTGCCATAGTTTCTACATGATTTAAGAATTCTGCAAATTCATCTACCAAAGTTAATATAAATGAGACTGCCATCTGGAATTACTTCTAACTTAGTGGGTTAATTTACCATTCAGTGGTAATGTCCTTGTCTTTGTAGAAGACAGTTGACCCTGTTAAGAGTATATGGCTGCTTGCAGTCTATAGAAATGCCCTGAAAATTGTAAGGATTCAGCTCCTTTAACAGTACATTTCCAGTTTGTCTCAATGCAGATTTCAGTTGTAGAATACGGGCAAAGTTTGTGCTCAAAATCTTGCCCATGCTTCAGGTGAAAAGCCCTGTGAACAAAGAGCTCTGTCAGTCCCAACCATGCCACCTGTGTGACAGGTTTCAGGAAGTCTAGGTATCCATTGACCTAAAACTTAATGCAGGTCTATTCACAGAATCACAGAATCACAGAATCACAGAATAGTAGGGGTTGGAAGGGACCTCTGTGGGTCATCTAGTCCAACCCCCCGCCGAAGCAGGGTCACCTACAGCAGGCTGGAACTTCCTGTGCTTCAGTTTGTGCCTGTTGCCCCTTGTCCTGTCGCTTGGCGCAGCCTTCTCTTCTTCAGGCTGAACGAGCCCAGCTCCCTCAGCCTCTCCTCATAGGAGAGATGCTCCAGTTCCCCCCCATCTCCCCCAAAATTAAGGCATATTCGTCTGGATTATTTTAGTATACCACTAAATGGATACTGTGCCTTTTATATTAAGAATTTAGTTTTAAACCCTAGATGGCTTATTTTTCAGTGAAACTGTAATTTCCAGTATGGTCACCTAGAGCAGTGTGTGGTGACCTGCCATTTTCCATTAGGAGGGACAGGTTTCACCCAAAGGCAGAAGATGATTTCATTCCTAAATGAAGCAGCTGTAAATAGACTGCTATATTGGGACTTTAATGTCAGTCATTCAGCACAATCTGAAAGAAAATACTAAAGACTGCAACAAGAGAAGTCTAAGAATATTTTAGTATAAACGTTAAGAATGAGGTGTGTGTTGGGCAGGGCTTGGTGCGCTGCTGACAAAGGGAATTGCTTTGCTGGGTTCCCTGTCCCCTGAATGATCACTTGCATGACCCAAGGTTGTTTTCACAGTCAAGTGTAGCTATTTTCTTTCTTCTATTTCATTTTTCTAATTATGATACTAATTTAATAACTTTCAGTGGGTGATACAGTAGAGAAGCTAATACCAAACTCCAATTCAAGGTTAGTGGTATGGACAGAACACTGAAAGTTTAATCATTGACCCAAAGCACTACTGTTCTTGGCTGAAATACCCTTTGCTGTTTCTGACTGATGGCCTTTCCAAAGCAGAGACTGCAAATGAGAAAGTGTACGGAGTTACACAGTACAGTGGGGAAATTGCCACAAAATTTTCATCTGATATTAGAATGAAAGCTTTAAACTTTTCCTGACCAGCAGCACAGTCCAAATCTGAACTATGCCTTTGTGAAGACTCTAGCAGAACCATAAGCGGCATTAATGAGAATATTCTGCCTGTCTCAAATCCTTATTGCTGTTGAGTATATCTTGGTCCAGAAATAGTCCTATTGAAAGCACTGGAATTATTCCCAGAATACAGTGCTGTTCGACATGAAAATGAGTATTTCTTTTTCAAAATGGTCTTACTCAATTGTTGGTATCTTTCAATATAGTCTGAAAAATAAAAAACCTTGACACGTTTCTCACTTATTCTTCTTTCTGTTCCATTTTTCTAGTTTAGCTTCCCTTACTTGCCTCTGTCCTCTAATTCACCTACATATTTGGGTCCCATGGTAATTAGGTGTACGGAGAGTAGTTTCGTGTTTGTATTTTGCACATCACAATTCAGAACTAAAGATTAAACAATCCTCCCTCCTCAGACTATAAATTGTAGTATAAATGCATAGAAACTAAGTTAACAACCAGAGGAAAAGACTCTTGAGCTACTCTTTTATTTAAAGCTTATAGCATGAAACAGCATTCAAAGACTGACCATTTGTCTGCCAAGCGAGGTAATTTTTTGAGGCAACAGAGAAAAGCTCACACTAAAATTTGAATTTTTACTGTACCTTATAGAAGAAATCCAAATCCTATTTTACTAAGAACCTAACACAGAATGAGGTTTTGGGGTTGCTGAGTCGAAATCCAACAAGATACGCTTACCAAAGAATGCAGCAGAGGTATTGCAGGCATTCTGGTTTTTAGTACTGCCGCCCCTACTCTCACTTCAACCTGTTTATATCTGCAGCAGTTCATTCTTGTTGCTGTATTAAAAAAACACACTTTTATGCCAGGATTGTGGCACATGCCATATGGTTACTAAGACTTACTTGAGAGGACTGAGTTTTGTGAGTATATGCTGCAGTCACTCAGTTTGGCTTAGAGCCTTTGCAGTGAATCTCTGTGCAAGGAGGCTGTTCTTGCATGGAATCCCATAATTCCAGAGAACTTGTCTGTCTTTTGGGGCTCCTTTACAAGTTCTTAACTTTCTTGAAGCCAGAGGAATGTTACCACAGGCCGAATTAACTGGGTCTGGTTAATGGGATGTACTTGAGTTGATAGTCCCTTGATTACAGATTAAAAAGGTCAAATCGACATTGTTGATATTTTCTTGGAATAGAATTTAGAGATGCCTTGGGGAAATGGCCAGTACTTCTTGTCATGATACTATTCCATGGCGGGGGTTTCCATCAGAATTTGTACTGCGTGTGTTGTTCTAGGTCTATGTAGGTTCTGTTTCTTCCTGGATTCATTATCCTTAGAGATGCTAAGAGTCTCTAAGGTGTCTTTTGTTCTGCATGGTTTTATAAGTTACCGCATCTTTTGGATCGTGTTGTAAGTGCTAGGTTTAGAACATGGGTTAGTGCCTGTATGTTCCATGTCTTCATTACAGAGGACCTTTTACTGTCCTTATTTCAGGACTTCAGTGTTTCTCCTAACTTCCTTCACTCATGTTGTGACTAAGGATTTCTGTATTTCCTAAATAATATCAATTCATGGTTTTCTTCATCTGTATTTTGAGAATACATAGATTGGTCAATTTCTCTGAGCTTTTTATATCTAAAAGCAGAAATTTAGATCCCGTGATATTTTTAGGTGATGGCTATTCAACAGGAATTCTTTGCTTAGCACTAATGAAATAACTCAGAGCTTTCTGGTTTACTCAGTGAGGCTGGGTAGTTGTAGTTTCAAAAGACCAACATTTTTAAAAGCTTGAAAAGTTCAGGTATCACTTCTGAACTGAGATACTGAAGCAGAAATTGGATCAAATTGTATTTTCAGAAAAGTCTAATGTTATAACTGATGGTCCTATTAGGTCCTTTTTTCTTGGACTCGTCTTTATATATTTGGACTTACATGTTTATTTTACCTATTCTATGCTTGACAGAAAACTTAGCTTAAATAATAACTTAATGTAAATAATAAGATACTGGAATTCATCTGGTGTCATAGGTCTCCTAGCTCATCCTTTGACCCAAAACACATTTTAAAGATCTCTTCAAAAATTTCAGGTTTCATTGTGTCTGAGTTTCTGCTTCTGACTCTTATGTCTACAGGAAGATGGGAATTATGTAAAAGTTATCACCGTGTAATAAAATGACTCATCTGTAGTGATGCGAGGTCTTTTAATCTTAAATTGTTTTCTGTTGTTCCAGGACTGCATCAGCCTGGGCTCAGGAGAGCCAAGCAGGAGCGCATACCACTCTTTTGTCCTTTACCACAACAACAGCCCTCGATGGGGGGAAATCATCAAGTTGCCCATCCCTATTGACAGGTTCCGTGGGTCTCACCTCCGGTTTGAGTTCAGACATTGCTCCAGTGAGTGAAAAATACAACCAAGAGAAATCTAAAAAAACCTGAGGTCTTTCCATTGTTAATTTATATTCTGATGAGGCTGTTACTGGGTGAAAAGCAGGAAGGGGGTGCCAACTGAAAACACAGTGAAGGTGCACTGCTAATTAGCCGGTTGCTACGTTTATTGAACAGCACATTAAAAACATCATGAACAATCAGTGCAGGGCAAAACAGTCTGTAGATGTTCTCCCCTGCTGTTCTTTTGCTATGTATTCCTGTCGAGTGTTTTCTTTACAGCATGTATATTTTATATTTTCCTGTGTTTGGCATGTTTGTGTTTGTTTTGAGGCTTGTCGATCATTTGCGTAGAATTAGACATAGTATATTATGTATTGTTTCTTATGTAACCTGCATGATTTTTGTTAGGCATGCAGAGAAGTTAGTGAATAACTTTGTGACATATATGGACAGACAGAATATGTACAAATACTATCTATTTCTATCTCTTGCTACAGCAAAAGACAAAGGAGAAAAGAAGCTCTTTGGTTTTGCATTCACTCCATTGATGAGAGATGATGGCACTACCTTGTCAGATGATATCCATGAGCTTTATGTTTATAAGGTACCAATTCTCCTCTGCAGACTTTTCACCTACTCATCTCTACTTCAGGTTAAAGAAGTAATGGTCATTACATTATCTCTTCCCCCTGCCCCTTAGAAGTATGTGAGCAGCAGATTAATAGTGGTGTCAAAATTTTGTAAATTCCAAATCACATGACCAGGTATGGATACAGCCTTCTATTCTAGGTACAGCTTACCTTCTCCCTTCAGATAAAGATGATTTATCTTCTGTTAATCCTATCTATTTTGAATTCACACTAGTGTTTATGAGCATTCAGCAGTTTTACCAGCCTATGGCATTACTCTATACCTTTGTATTATGAAAATATGCTGTACTTCAAATGCATCATGTTACAGCACTACAGCTTGGCAACCCTGTAGCAAGGGGCTTGGGGGCAGCTGTTTGGGTTTTTTCCTCTTGCTGATTTACCTTGGTTTATTTCTTCAGTATGATTTTCAGACAGCAGCACTGGGTTGTACAGTTGGAAGATAGTGAAAAGTTGTAGAGAGTCAGTGGTTAGGAGACCACACTTTCTAGAACTGAGTCTGTTTTGTGTGTATACAGGCCTGAAGGTGGTAAGCACAGCTTTTTCTCAGAAGTGCTTTGTGCACCCAGAAGATGAATAGAAGTACTGTTAGACAGTTGCCGTCAAAGTGTGAGTATGTGGAATGAGCTAGACTAGCTACAGTTCCATTTCTTGTCCTGTACCTGCAGTGTGATGAGAACAGCACGTTTAACAATCACGCACTGTACCTGGGGCTGCCTTGCTGCAAAGAGGACTACAATGGCTGCCCCAACATCCCTTCCAGCCTCATTTTCCAGCGCAGCACCAAAGAGACCTTTTCTGTCTCCACACAGCTTTCTTCTACCAAACTGACCCAGAATGGTAAGCAGCTAATCCTTCAGAATTGCCCAGGGCAACAGGGATTCTGAAAAAGGGAGATAAGATGGGTGTGCTTGTACTCTGTTTCTTGTACTAAAATACTCCTTTGTTATAATTTAATTATATGTGTGCTTTTTTTTTACTAACACTACTGAAATGAGCAGAAACTGATTTTTTGAGGAAATAAGGATATTGACAGATGGCAGAGAAATTATAGACATTACTTTAAGTACAAGAGAAGGGTGATATGCTAAAACAAAATTAATTTTCATTAAATGATTGAAGAACAAAAAATTCAATGTTAGCACTTCTACACAATCCAAAGTTTGTTTTGTTCTGCTTTTTAAAGAGTTACTAAGTAAATAAAAAGTTGTCACGGCAATATCCCTGAAGCATGGGAAGACAAAAGTGAATTGTCCACAGTGCAGTGTCAAGTCACATAGGGAAGAATGCAGTCTTTACTCTTCTTGAAGTACTTTACCATTCCTCCATTAATTCCTTTGTTAACAGTATTGGACTTACTCCATATTTTCCATCTTGTTTTCCCTTATTTTTTCATTTTTCCCCGAGAAGTGTGAACTACAACAGGCGCAGGAATGTAACATGTAATGAATCTCTGGTGGGTCTGGGGTTACCATGCTTCCCTCTGCGTATGGATTCTAGCTCTTTCTCTCACTGTTCTGCAGTGGATTTGCTTGCCCTGCTGAAATGGAAAGCTTACCCAGATCGTGTGATGGATATTCTAGGAAGACTGAGACATGTCAGTGGCGAGGAAATTGTTAAGGTACTACATGAAATAACAGTCTCTGGATGTATCTGTGATAGCAAGCAGATTCAGACCTGCAGTCCGTTCTGAATGTTACCTCTTCCTGTACTTTTTGATTCACACTGTGAATTCTCAGAGTGTATGAAAGGGGATTTTATTTTGACATGAAACTGAACAGGAATATACACTCCAAAAACTAATGGATATTTAGTCCTTAGGATCAAAATAGAGCTAATCCTTAGTAAGATTCCCTCACCCACATACGCTGCGAATATCAGGTCCTCACCACCAGTTGTCCCACTCTGTAGGCCCTCTCCTGCAGAGCTGCGCTGCTTGCCGAGGTAGACAGAGCCACTGGTAGCAGTGTTCTGGGCAGACTTACCTGTTCCAGTAGTATTTTGTAAAGGACATTCTCTAAAGTTGCATAAGTGTGATTGGTCATTTCTAGAGTCAAGAAAATAGAGCTGACTCAGAAAACTTGGCCTTTTCAAACAGCTAGTAGAGCTGATCTGTATTTCTACTTTGCAAAAAATATGTTCTTAATGTCTGTGTAGAGGAGAAAGAAATGTGAAACCCTGAAAGTTAAACGTTGCTCAATGGCCAGTGGACCACCCTGTCCCCGCGTTGTAAAGTGAAGCTCTTGCCTAGAGCACCAGTTGCTCTCTAGCTTGGCCAACCAATCAGTAATCTGTCTTCTGTCTGGTAATTTCATCATGCTCTGTAACCACTGTAGTGCTGCGTGCCAGTCCTTTGTGTGACCTGAACTTTCAAAGGAAGTTCAAGATGCATTTGAACACTTGTGGTCTCAGCAAAAGAATGTGTGTTCCAGATACCCCGTTGATAGTTTTAGGTGTGCTAAGAACTTTCCCTAGAATTTATTTCTGTAAATCTAGAAGTAAAAGGAGATAATTTGTAATTGCAAACAACCAAAGAGAAGAAACCAAAGAGAAATCCCATCACTTAATTAGTGGTTCTTAATTAATAGTTTATGATTAAAGCCACTTCATTGTAACTCATTTGAATGTTGCCATATCTTGAATTTCTGTCTTCATGATAACTTAGTAACGGAAGAGGACAATGCCCCATTTATATTGGAATTCTTCAGGAATGTCATGTTTTGTACGCCTAGTTTGCAGGGCAGTAAAAGTATCTGGTTTTCATAGAGAAAAGCATAAAAAGATATGGACTAAATTATTCCAACGGGAGAAGTAATTGATTCCCTCCCTAAATCAGCTGCCATTTGGCATTGAAATATGAAGAACAGCATGCAATAATTCAGAAAAAAAGAAATTGTATCCTTTCAGAGACTTCATAAATTGTTATATTTTATTTCTTGTTTTCCACATCAGAAATTTAATTAGAATAGATTAAAAAATCATGAGAGAATGTGCAATTGACTTAATCTTCACCATTCTTCTTCACAGTCATCCTTGCTGAGGACTGTGCTTTCAGGAAAGGAATCACTGAATTGTCAGCATTCAGTAAGCCATGGTGTTGCGGAGGAAGGAAACAATTGGCAACATGTAACTTGACCCAATTAATGCTTGTTAGAAAAGCTTTACTTTCTGTCATGCAACAAAAGTTTTCAATATTAAACATAATTTGGAGCACCAGTTGATATGCTTCCAAGTCTTAAAATTGGTGAAGAACAGTATCTGATACACTCTAATGATACAAGAATGAAAGTAAGTTGTTTTGCCACTGTTAGGCAGCACTTAGTCAGCTTACAGTGAAAGGAACACTCAGTTATATTTGCAAATCAGGTGTGTGGTACATATTTCTTATTTTCTGTTTGTTTTCTCTCATTTTTTATTTAGAAATATTCCTTGTAAAGAGAAAAATTCTTCTTAGTAAAAACAAATGAAAATCTGTCACATCATATGGATGAACCCAAAGTGGTTTGTCCTTGGCAAGTGTTTCACAAAGATATCAATATGTATGAAATAATTAAAGCGGGGGGAAATAATCTTCTTTTGAATACAATGGAGTTTCAAATTCTTTGCTTATTCTTGTCATTTTAGTTCCTACAAGATATTCTCGACACGTTGTTTGTAGTTTTGGATGACAACACAGAAAAGTATGGTCTGTTGGTCTTTCAGTCTTTGGTAAGTTGCTGAATTGTTACTTTTCTTTATCTCGTTATCAGTGAGTTTTAAGTTCTGTATTACGATGTTGCTAGTACTTTACTTCCATGAAATATGAAATATTCAGCTGGATCCAGCTTTATGTTTTCTGTAATAATCTTGGGTGAGGAGGGCAGGATAGCCTCAACATATCCCAGGACAGCAGTATTTGCTATCAGTTGAGAGAAGCAACCAACAACATCTAGTAACACAAATACTGACTGTTTAACTAAGCTCATGTTTCTTTGTTCAGTGTTCCTTAGCCTGTGTAACTTGTTTGCAGAAACCTAGCAACAATGTGCAGTTTCTCTGAGCATGGGTTCACTTTTTCTCTCCCACAGGTATTCATCATAAATCTGCTGCGTGACAGCAAGTATTTCCATTTTCGCCCCGTGATGGACACTTACATTCAGAAGCACTTTGCAGGAGCGCTGGCTTACAAGTAGGTTTTGTTTATCCTCCCCTTCAAGAGATGGCATTATAGCAAACTTTTGAATGATGTCACCATCAGAATCAAAGCCTTCATGTTAGCAGTGGTTTTCAAAAGTAGAACTACTCAGCTGAAAGTTTTCCAGCACAGTTACAAAGAAAGGCTGCTGAATGTCACCTGTGGCTAAGAATGAGCAGACTTTGGGATTTATCTTGCCTTTCTGAACTGAAAAATGTTACTTTTTTTTTTTTAACTGGAGAGACACTGTCACTCAGGAACAACTCGTTACCCGTCTATACTAATGAGGTACCAGGCGCATATACATTTCTTGTCTTAAGCAGGATGTTGGGATATGACTTGTGTGAAAGCTTAGAGAACTAGTTGTCGTTTCCTCTGCCAAAGTAGTCAGGTATTCACATAAGACGATGGTCTATTTGATCAGAGTAAATGTATCATTTCAGTAGATCAGAAACTGAGTTTTCACTGTCACGTTGAAGATTCCGCCTTATGTTCTAGTATTCTTTCTTCAGTGTTGCATCAGACAAGAAGACAGATTTTTGAAAGCAGTAACAGTAATCATTCAGGGTTTTGTTTTTCCTTTCACTTACACCATTTCTTTTGTTCATTTGAATGTATTTTATCTTTGGCCACAATAAACTATTTAAAATAGCTTATAATTATGGATAGGCTTTTTAGCAGGGCCTGTTGCAATAGGACAAGGGGTAATGGTTTTAAACTAAGAGAGGGTAGGTTTACACTGGATATAAGGAAGAATTATTTTACAGTGAGGTTGGTGAGGCACCGGCACAGGTTGCCCAAAGAGGTGGTTGATGCCTCATCCCTGGAAACGTTCAAGATCAGGTTGGACAGGACTCTGAGCAACTTGGTCTAATGATGACCTTTAAAAGTCCCATCCAACGCAAACCATTCTATGATTCTGTAATTGGTTTTGATTGTTTTAAGGCATTCACATTTTAATGTAATTTTAAAATACTATATAAAAAATATTGTGTCAATAGCAGGTAAAACATGTAGATATTATACAACACTAGAAGACATAGTCATGTTCAGAGGATCAGGTGTTCTGCTTTCTGTTAATTATCACCTCTTGCAGAAAAAACAAATGATCTTTGGTAGTCTGATCTCTGAAATAGAACATGTTATTAATACAGCTCTTAAGTTAGTCCAGATGGTATTGTGTACTTAGGGGAATAGATGCTTGTACTTTCTTTGTGATTTTATTTTCTAAAAACTGCTTGCTTAGAGACGATCTGGAATTTCTTACCAAAAAAAAAAGAGCATGTTTTGGTCTTAGAACTATACTGCATGCCTTTATCAAAGCTATCTCTTTAATAACATCTTTCTGATGTTCTCTTAATGTTCCTCATGGTCTAAGTCCATTACAGAGAAAAAGTTATTTTCTGGTTTGGAAACTTAAATAAACATATGTATAATGTAAATTCAGTAGCTAGGACAGCAACAGCTGGCCATTGAAAGAGAGTGAAATGAGACTTTCTTATAGATTTCTCCCTGAAGCCAAAATATTTGTTGTATGGCTGATTTTAAAATAGCGCTGAAAATTCCTCTTCTTTTCACTATTTGTTATATTCAGAGAACTGATCCGATGTTTGAAGTGGTACATGGACCGTTCAGCTGAGCTTGTACGCCAGGACCACATCCAGGAAGCAATGAGAGTATGTATCTGATGGAAACGTGTGTGTCTGCTCCATCTGTGACTACAAAAGGGCTGGGGAAGCTGTAAATAATACCAAGGGTGGTCTGGCACTCACTTCTGATTTGTTTAACCAGAATTTTTTTTTTAAATATTTTGCCAAAGTTTTAATTTTAGGGGGAGATTCACCCTTGTGCAAAAAAATGGAAGAATTATGTCTCCTTAAGTCCTTCTGAAGCCCTATGGAGAACTTAAGTGGGACTTACATGGAGTGTATATGCGCTGGCCATATGTGTATACACACACACACATATATGTGGTCCACAGCTTGCACTTCAAGAAGCTGTTATTTTGCTGGGCTATAAGAAGTCGTTATAATAAGAAACATTATTTTAAATTTTAACCTGATCCACAAGTGCTGTGGATGAAAGATACGCTTTTAATTTCTGGCTGTGACACTGCTGCATTGTATTACTGGTTAAAGTTCTGGAGTGTTTTAAGAAGCAGAAAAATGAGCCTTTAGCTGGATGGAAATTCTGTCATTGCACAGGACCTGAATCACAGTTCAGTGATGAGAGTATGATCTTGCAGGAAGGCACAGCCTTCTAATGGTGTGTGAAACAAAGTGAGTATTTTTGGTGTTTTAGAGAGAAACCACAGAATCAGGTAGTGGTTTTACTATGTGTAATTGTGAAATGGAAAGATATTCTGTCAAGTACATAAATACAAATTTGCAGGAAGGTACTTTCCTTTGAGTGAGTGTCCATCTGTACCTTCTCAATGTGAGGAGGCTTATGCCCAAACATTTAAGTCTGGGCACTTTTAGAACTAATAGTAGCAGTGGCAGAGATTAGCACCTTCTTTTTCTCACTTTTTCATCAGTACAAATAGGTGAACCATATCGCAGGTGAAGCACACACCCATACATTTATGTATACAGAGACTGATCCTTGCACATGTGTTTATGCTTGTGTGTTGGCATACATTCGCAACTTTATTATGGCTCGCTCTTTCTTCTTGGGATATTTTTGTTCTTTGTTTTGCCCTCTTTACTCTTGAGGAAGTAATTTATTTTATTTTTGAGAATTCTTGTTGCATTTGAATGGTTATGGCATCACTGCCATCAAATAGCTTTCAGTAGCCTCCCGTTAAGGTCATATCCTGATACTTACAAGGGCGTTATACCAGTGTTCACCTTGTCTTTTGTAGATGCTTACGTACTTAGAAACTTTTCTTTGTAATACTTTTCAACCACAGATTCATGGAGAATGCTAAAAATGGGACAAATATTTCTTTTTCAAGAAATTATCAAGTTTGTTATTCTTTTTGCTTCCGTTCTCATTCTTTTTTTTTTTTTTGTTTTTTTTTAATTATGAAGAAATCTATTATAATTGTGGCACCAGAGAAAGATCTCTAGCTGAAATGACTTCTGGAAGGTTTTCTTCCCTCTCAAACCACTCATTAGTGCTCTGTGCAGTGCACCAGATAGAGAAGTATGATGTTGTCCCTACATGCTCTGCATTTTTTGAACCTCATAGTAGTCCTCTTTAGGAATATTAAAAATATGAATGCTAGAATGTCTTTCAGAAACTCGGTTATTCAACAGACTGTTTGTGAACAGGGTATGTTCTTTCAAAGATTCCAAGGCAGCTCTTTGCTTACTGGGAATCTCAAGTGTTTGCCTAGAAAATAGCTGTTCCCTCTGTGAGTGAGGTCAGTTTGAAGACCTGACAGCCCAAGCCTTTCCAAGCACAGGGATTACAATTACCACCAGAGTTTCTGCAGGCCTAACAGTGCATCCTCTACCACTGACACTGCTATCACATCTTATTCAGACAGTAGCCTTTGCAGGTTTATCTTGGAGGCCCAAATTAAGGTCTTTATCTTCTTCCGTTACAGGAAAGTGATTGATTTCCTTCTTTGCTTCCACATTTTATTTCAGGCATTAGGAACAAGTTTGTACCAAAGCCGTTATTGTTGCTAGTATGTCATTACTAGTACTATATTCGGTTGATGGGAATTTCTGTGGTCTTGGGTGTCTTCACTAGACTTCTTGCATTAGTAGCTCTTCAACTCCGAGAACAGGATAGCTGTCTGCCCCTTTTTCGCTGAATTAGCTGTTAAACATAGTACCCTACAGCAGGAGTTGAAATACCTCTGGACTCTGTTTTGGCTCTCGACTGCCCATGTACACTCATGATGGACATGCAGGTGTCTCATAGGATGCTGATTTTCGACCTTTGCATTAGCAAGCACTGCTCAAGACTATTTCTAAAATGACTTGCCTCCCTCAAGACTGCTTGTAATTATCAAAAAAATTTCTATGACACCTTGGGGAACTATAAGCAAAAGGACGTCTACCTGTGCACGTGTCATCATGTTCCTTTATTACACCTTGCAACAAGCTCCACGTGAGCTGCATCCAGATACAGCTGCCTGTGCCTCCCTGGAGAATTCTGTAATGAAATGTTTGTGTGTGGTACAAAGTGGCTCTAGGAGATGCCCTTTCAGCTTCTGTTATCTTCCAGTAGTAGAATCACAGGTGGGTTTTGTCTAGATTGAGGAACCCACTGAAAAAGCAAGACGTTTTCTTCCTTAGGAGCTCACATCTGCATATTGGTGTTCTGGAGCTGAACCACACAGAACATGCATCAGACTTTTTTTACAGACTTTGAGGTACTGCATACCACTACTATGGGGCTTTACACGAATCCATGATATGGAAAGGGTCAGTCTTCCCCGCTGATTTCTTCAAACCCCTGAACATGCTTTCTGAGCCATGCCAGCCAGGGAGCTAGTGAAGGAGAGATTTGGAATTACATTCGCAGCCCACCTTTTGAGACTGGGGACTCCTCCAAATTGTTTTCGTCACCCTGAATTTAAAAAAGAAATGTCAGTCTGCAGCTTTTAAGACTACTCTGTCTCTGGACTTATTAATTACCTCATTCAGAAATAATTACCTTATTTGGTGATATGCATTTTCTGTAGTCTTGTTTTTTCTAAGAATACCAGAAAATTGCTGATGTCATTATAATTGTGGCACCCTGGTCAGCCTGTCTGTGGGATTTGCTCCTTCTTTTATGGCTGATGCCTTGAACTTTGCCCCACGTCCTTTATCTGCTCTCACAAGACTCAAACTGGTACGTTCACTTGAACCTTTGCACTTTTTTCTTAAAAAGGCATAGTAGATGCTGCTTGCAGTTGAAGCAGGTATGCTGTTCTTTGGAAAAAGCACACTGACGGTAGCAGGAAGAAGTTTGCTAGCTGCTGTTGAACGGTGAAGTGGATATTCACAGACTACTGAAAATGGCTTTTATTCACTTTGGTTAGGACAGTGAAAGAGATTCAGACCTACAGAGCTAATCCTCTTTACATACGCTGTGCTTATGATAAGGTTAGCAATTCTACATACTGCAGATTCTTTCCTAAAGTCATCTTTGGTTTTCTTGAGTTAGGAAATTGATCTGTGCTTTTTCTTAAAGCAGCTCTACACAGGGTTGATTCGTCTATTCATACTCTGAACATCAAGTCTGGTTTGCCATTTGTTTGAATTGAACAGTCTCTGCATCTCTACGGCAGATGAGTCCAGATGTGCAGCTGTACTGTCCCCAAGCCTGTGCTGGATTTGTGAATGTGCTGCAGTAAACCCATCAAATGTTTTTTGAGCATAATCCCTGAAGGCTCAAGTGACACTAGTGTCTCTGAAGAGTATCTTTATCCGTTAGACCTGCAGAGTAACCACAGATCTACTTTTTTACCTGTGTTACCATAGAAGCATCTAACTGATGCTGCTTTTGTCATAGTGGTCTTCTGGTTTTAATTCTCCTGGGACATTGCAACCAACCAACCAGGTAATCTGTGCAAGCTGAGATGTGCTGTTCCTGTATTCACAGAGTGAACATGCATATGGACAGTCGCTCAGAGAAGAAAGGAAGGTGACTCATTAGTAAGTGGAAGTTCTTTGAGAAGTGTTATCTGAATGCACATTTCTTACTCCTTTTCTCATCTCTCCCGGAGTACCACTGGCAGAAATCAGGGATTGTTTGGTTGGAGTCTTTAGGTTGCTGGTCACAGGTGAGTGGTGTGTGCTCACCTATTGTGTCAACATGCATACAGATTACAGTTTTAAGAAACTTTCTTCAATTTTATACTGATTTTTACATCATGCCAAACATAATAGAAGGCTTGAATTTTATTTCAGTGCAATTCTGTGTCTTTAGGCACATATATGCATCATATCTGTGATTTTGTGAGTAGTTAAGAGTCAAAGTTCGTCCAAGTGCTGATTTGTGCTAACAAGACTTGCTTTGTTTTTTTACCATCTCAGACATGTGTCTGCAACCACACAGAACTCTTCAGTTAACTGCCTTTGTGGGTTTATTCTAGGCAACAGTTGAGGTTGTCTGTGCTAAGGGTGTGCAGTGTCTCTGAAAGCCTGCCATTTCACTTTCAACAGAGAATTACAGAATTCCATACACAAATCCTCTGATTCATTGCAAAACATAATCTTCACATTAAAGTTACAAGCTTTCAGGTTAGAATGATGGTTGTCTATACCAAACCTATAAACGGCTTGTACGAGCACTTGACTGGCTGTATTTGGTGTCAGTAGCAGAGATGCTGACCTTCAGGAGCTGACTCTTGTGAACCAATCGACCTTTGTCTGGAAACTACATAAAAATATAAAGTGTTACCTCCTGATGAAGTTCTTTGGTGTGAGGAAGCTTCACTGGGAGATGTTTTAGTACTGAAGTATAAATAACACACTGCCAAATCACCGTCACATGGTCATTCTCTATCCTTAAAGCTGTAGCATTCTAAAGCTTACAGCATAACATCGCATATTCATGTGTACAGTGTGGTGGTTCAGTGAGGGGCTTCTTATGGGTGCAGAAATATCTGACAAGGGCAAAATTTGTATTTGAATTAACTTTCAGTTTCCCAACTGAAGTGCAGCAGACAAGAATGCTTTCCAGCCAATACTATATTATTAATGTTTCTGTATAGCCTGTGATTACTGGAGCTCCAGCCTGTTTGCTTCCTTTGCTAAATTCTGAGGATATCATCAAACTATGCATCATGTCTTCCCTTAATCCTGCTTTAATGGTGTATCGTGTTAAGCACTAAGGGACGGAGTGAAGTCCAAATTTCACTGGTATTTAGTACATTTCAGTGTTGACAGTTGTGTATACCAAATGATCAAAAAGGCCTTGTTGCTGTGTGGAATAGTACAGGGCTATGTTAGTGTCTGTGGGAACCTTTGATAGATTTGGTAAGCTTGTTAAAGGCTGCATAGAACAACGTCTTTTTCTTCATTGACATTGCTGCCTAATAAATGGAGTTCTGGATAATGCCATTTACAAAATGTAAAGAAGTTTAGGCTGCCAATTCAGACTTAATCTAAACCTATCGAAGCAAATTAGCATTCTACTACAAAAAGATCCAATTTGCCAGTCCTTCGGGACTGCAGCATCTATCACGCCCTGTATAATGGTGTTAAATGCTGTCTTCTGTGCAGGTTGTTCTCCCTCTGCTGGGTGCTCTCCAAGTTTCATGGGTGATGATAAAAGAAAGACACTTTAACTTACCACAGCTAGAAGTAAAAAGATACTCACTACAGTACTGCTGCTTGCTACTGTCGTGGGCTACCGGAGGGCGTCACAGGCTGCTCTTGTCTTCTGTTTCTGCATCTGCATTTATTTCTGTTTGTACATGCAGCTGCCAGAAAGAAAGGTGAACTTTGCTGTTGTGTTCATATTGAAAAGTAGATTCTCCTTTTGCCAGGTAACTCTTCTTCTGTTCCACTGGCAGTCCGCTTATCTTAATCTAGATTAGCTCAGTCACATAATTAAAGGTAAAATTTTAATGAAAACAGAAGAATGGCTCCTTCAGACACACAGTCGTTGTGCCAAGCGATGAGAAAACTGGACATCTCTTACCTTCACCAAGGTTTTCCTCAAATTATGCAGCGCGAATTTGTCTATTTGACTTCAGTGTATACTTTTTTGGTTAGGGGGACGTACTAGTAACAAAGATTATTGGTTGAGAAGGGATACTTGCCTATTGTTCTTCCTTAACTGATTTATATAACTTACAAAACCTGTTTTTCTTTCTCTTTTCTAAAGCTGAAAAATTTAGTTATTATGCACCTAGAATCTTTCCTGGTTCTCTTTAAAGCTCCTTTATTTTTCTTTCTCTCTTTTTCTCTATCATAATCTTCCTCTCTTGCCCCTTAAGGCCTTGGAATATCTTTTCAAGTTCATTGTCCAATCTCGGATCCTTTACTCCAGAGCTACTTGTGGAATGGAGGAGGAACAGTTCCGCTCCAGTATCCAGGAGCTTTTCCAGTCCATCAGATTTGTGCTCAGCTTGGACAGCAGGAGCTCCGAGACGCTCATCTTCACACAGGTTTGCTATTTTCTACACCTTAACTGGCCAACTGGAAGGCAGCTGTTTTCTGCACAGGTGGTATATATGGGCACATGACAGTTAAATGCAGGTTAGTAGAGTTTTCTCCCTCTAACAAGCTGATGGTATTGGAAAATGACATAGCCAGCGTGTGCTGTTAGGCAGTAGCTTTGCACCACTTCACAGATACAGGCGAGCTGAACTGTGGACTCTCAAGAGGAAAGTGACTTCTCACATGAGAGTACAATTTCTGCTCTTCACAGAAGTAAACTCCATTTTTAAGTCTCTCGTGTCTTACAGTTGGCCTAAAGAAATTTTAAACCCTTAATTAGCTCAGGTCAATACTTAGGATCATAGCAACATCACAGTAGAGGAGTTCAACTGATGTACTCGCAGTCAGGTAAACTTAATTCCAGCATACTCTCAAATTACTGTCAGAATCATACGCAGCCTGACTGCAAGCATACTGTGTTACCCACGCTCATATTTAGCGTGTTATTTTGGATGTGGCCCAGATGACTGCTTGGAGACTTCATGTGGGCTTAAGATACTACTCCAAGTGAGTAAGGATGTTGCTAAGTTTTGTTTCATGTTTTAAAAAGTTTAAATAGTTATGTCAAATGTTATGTGTGTGCCTCAGCTCAGAGAATGTCAAAGACAGACCACTTAGAGCTTCCTGGTAATATGAAGGTGATTTGTAATCACTAATGTACTATTTACAGATGTATTGAACACCTACTGTAGTTTGCCAAAGCAGCAGCTGCTGTGAACGTTGCCACAAAACAGAGCGACTCCAGTGGTTAGGGAAGCTGCCAGCAATGTGATCTCTTTCTTAAGAAGCTGCTCTGAAAGATTTTGAGAACAGCTGCTCCAGTCTTTTATTTAATCACCCATTAGTGGGTATAATAAGATGAGCCAGGAACATGAGAAATCAGTGCGCAGATTTTACAGGCAAAGGGAGAGTGAGCAGAAGCAGTATCTTGTGAATGCAGGCTCTTCAGGGTTCTTTGTTTTTTTAGTTGTGTTGATCAAAAACACAGAGGGACGCTAGATTTGAGGATGGAGTTATTTTCCCTTTTTCTCTTTTTTTTTTCTCCTTTCTCTCACTACAGTATTTCTTACTTTGGACTTTTGTATTTGTAAAGGCTGTCCTTGTTTAATCTTTGAAAAGTTTACTTTTTGTTTCCCCCTTGCCACTGTGTTGCCCCTTGATCCCAATTGCCCCATAGGCCTCTCAGCCTGGAGGGCAGGCAAGCGGAACTGGGACATGTGCCCCACAAAAATGTGGTGGTACTTCAAGGCCGTCATTTAATTCTGTAAGTAATGATCCCCAGAACTGCACAAGTATTTCATCGTGGATGTTCCCAATTAATCCCTTTTCCCTACCCCAAACCCTCTTTTCCTGCATTTAAATCGGAATTTAATGTTTAAGTGGCTGGTACTTTAAAACTAGGAAATGTGGAATATTTCAGTAATTAATGGAACAGCTTATGGCATCCACACACTGAAAAGACAGTATTGAGGGCGTATATGAGATTATACAAGTGAAATTGCTCAGGAGAGCCAAGGAGATTATGTAGAGGTTCTGGAAATCTGGACAACTGTTAAATATCGACAGAAATGCTTGAGGCCCTAGCAAACATAATTTTCTTCACGCTTGTCCTCTTATCCAGGATATTAGAGAGCTCTCAGTATAGTTCTTTCCAGCAGTGAGGTTAAAACTGATTATGTCCTTCCTTCCTTCCAGGCAATTAGTCTGACATGAGTAATGTTCCAGAATATTTTAGGGTGCTGTACAAAAGAGAGCCCTTCCAGGAGCTGATGAAATGGTGTAGCTGTTCCTCAGGACGGCTCAAAAGCTTCCTGAGGAGGTCCCGTGCATATCCTTGCATTACTGCTGGACATCCTAAATCACCACAGAAATCCTCCTGCTTTACAGTAATAGTTAGAAATTAGTTTAGGAAAACTCCTGTAAGGATTTGTTGGGCCAGTATTGTAATTTCACTTGTATTATCCCAAAGATAAAGACCATGACTGGATTTGCGGCTGTTACAGCCTTCCAAGAGTACCATGAGCTATTTCAATGATTCATATTTGTTTATTTTGTTAGTACATTGTATGTATGTAGCAACAAATAGGTGACAACACCCAGGAGGCTATGTGGGGTTTTGTGTAATCTGAATTGATTGTAACAAGACAAGATGTTGAGAGAGAGATAACGAGCACGAAGAAGAAAGAGGTAAATTTATATTCAGAATAATTTAATGGGCTCTACACTTTTAGTTGTAAAAATAACTTAGACTTTGCTCAAAGACTAGTAAATAGATATCACTGTTGTTTGAAGGAAAAGATATTTTGAGGAAAGACTTGGCAAAGAAGGAAACTGTGTATAACATGGGATGAGGAGAGGCATGCCAAGCATTAGAGCCAGCATGGGAGAGGTACAGAAATGTTCATGGAATGGGTAAACAAAAGAAGTCTGTGAGGAAAAGGAGAACTTCAGAAGAAAATACTAATAGCTGGTGAGACTCCGGAAGGGCAAAGCTGAACAGAGATCTGCAATGAAGTTTGGTAAATCTGAACTTCTGCAGGAAATCGGTGTGGTTTGTGGGGAAAGCTTCAGACACCGGAGGTGGAAACAGTGAGAAGGGAAGTGTGCACGGGGGGGCTGGGCAGGGAGCATGGCGGCTGAACCAAAACCGGACTCTGCAGCAGTTCGAGAAAGTAACTATCTAGTGATTGAAGTATTTCTAATGAGGAAACAGGTATGGACCTTGGGTAGGATGTAGGGGCAGAAAGAGAAGAATTTTAAAACAGAGGTAGTGGCAGTTGTTAGGTGTGACGCCAAGTTTGCAGAACTTGAGGACAGGGCGATGCATGCGATTTTCTACTGTGGTAAAGAAATTAATTGGAAAAATGTGAAATAAGAGATAAAGAGTTTGCTTTTTTTTTGTTGTGCTGATATTGTTTCTGCACTTTAAGAAACACCTTCAAGGATAGCTCCAGCTCACTGGGAATATCCATCATTGCACGAATCACGTGCACACTTACTTGCATGAGGTGATGCCTCTTTCACATGGAATCGCACCCCACCCTGTTGCAGAAATACTGTAATGTCACTGACAGTGCTGCTCCAGTTAAGGGTCTGTCAGCCTGTTCTGTGTTTCAGGATACTTTCTGGAGAGTTTTAACTGTCTCAGGTAGTTGCTCAGTACAAAAAAATTGGTATGGAAGTCTCTAATCAGAAGCAAGTTTTATATTTATTGAAAAAAGTAAATCAACAAAAACGGACCATTTTCTGTTCTCTAGTACCTCAGTTTTTTTGTTTTAGAAGCTGTGTCCTAAAATACAGCCTTTTGAAGCTCTGCAGTGTTTATGTGCTCAACTTATCGCAAGACTAAGTATTGCAGCAGCACTTGATTTTTATGTACTACGTGTGATTTGTTCACTCTGGACTTTAGGTATTGAAAAACATTAGCACTAGCCATAGTGCACTATTTAGGAGTTTTTTGCAGACCCTTACTTCGGTGTTACTGTTGTTTCAGTTTCACTGCATGGAGCTGCGGTTTTTTCACTTTCTCCGTGTCATTTTTTCAGGCTGCGTTGCTGAACTCCTTCCCCGCTATCTTTGATGAGCTGTTGCAGATGTTCACTGTGCAGGAAGTCGCCGAGTTCGTGCGGGGCACGCTGGGCAGCATGCCCAGTACGGTGCACATTGGGCAGTCAATGGATGTTGTCAAGCTACAGTCTATTGCACGCACTGTTGACAGCCGCCTGTTCTCTTTCTCAGGTAGGAGAGGCTAAGTCTTGCTGCTAAGTAGGAGTAGGAACACGTTACATTTATTTTGCAGTTGTTTTGTTGCAAACAACTGCTGAATGTCAATAATCTTGGTAATTATTTACTGTGGCGGCATCATTGTTAGGTATAGTCGCTGTGGGTGCTTTGTAAGTTTCCCTATGGTAGAAGATGTTTATAGATCCATTATGGATAAATTGTAGTTACTAAAGGTTAATAAAAATATGTACATTAACAAATCAAGTCAATTATTAAAACTGCCAAATCTCACTGGATACTTTGTATTACCCTTCTGTTGTTGTCATGGTCAGGAAGCTGATTGTCTGAGGAAAGGAAACAGGGAGGTGAAGTTGTGTGAGAAACCCACCGCATTCTTTTACAGTGTGTTTAATCTTTACATTCTAACTGTAGTATTTCTTTAGCTCAACATACTAGTAACTCTTTAATTCTTAATGAATTGAATGAAGAAGGGTTGAAGATTGTGAGTTAATTTCGTGCGTAACGGTCTGAATGAAAGAAGTTATAAAGGAAATAGTGGAAGACAAAAAGTACCATTGGGCTTAGCTTCCCTGTAGTGAGGATGTCAAGTTAGTGCACTGCAATTATTCTACTCAGTGAGAATGAGAACAACACGGAATCACGTTTAAACCATCTATTGTAATCATTTATAAACATACATTTTTTTTTCTTAAATTTGAAATTAATCTCAAAAATATGAGAGTGGAGAGAATGAGTAGATTAGTCCAAAGGTGACTGTGAAACAGGCAGTGAATTTTGTCTGATTATAGTGTTTTGAACCTATTTATAAAAATATTTGTCTTTGTGAGTGCCAGTGCGTGGGCCAAAACCTCCTTTTCTGTCTTCTTGACAAAGCCAGCTATAACTTTACCCACAGGGTCCAGGGCTTTAGTCCTTCCCGTTAACCTTCATTTCTGCTGTACAATGATACTGGCAACTAACGACGCTTTCAGCTGCTGCACAGCACCATGACATCTCACTACAGCATCAAGAACCAGAAAGAAAGGTTCAGTGCTGCAAGGCAGCTGTGACTGTATTAGATGCCATGCTTCCCACCCAGCATAATGACAGACCCCTATCCTATTCATTCCCATGGAAGCATCACCCGATACTCACAGGTCAGCAACCTCTCCCATGTCCTGTCTGCACACTGGAAGATGAATCTAGTTTCAAAATTGCAATTAAATTGCAATTCTTGCAATTAAAGGAAGATACATTCTCTTTTTCTTGCTTCCCCTATGGTGGTGCTTTATTTTCCTTTTATCTCTCCTGTCAGTCCATTTACTGACATCTTGCCACCTTTTTCCCCATCTCTCTTTTTTCCTGTTTTGGCTACCATTTTCTGCAGCTGTTACCTTCTATCCCTTCTTTAATAAGATTAAAGTTTGTAAGCCAGCTGAAAGAGAAGACTTAGCCAGCTTCCAGGGCATAGGTTGGAGAAGCTCTACTAGCTGTGACAATAGAGCTGGAAAGCAACCTGAAGTGAGGAAGGGTTTCCAGAAAGGAAATCAACATTAGAAAGTGTCAGTTCACAAGTGTTGTTTCCGAGCTGTATCGCTGTTGAGAACATCACATATACTGCACTGACGAGCTTTTGAAACCAAATGCACTGCTAATTCATTAGATGGAGCTCTTGGAAGGGTGGTGCACTACGGCCTGTACAGTAGAAGCTGCACCAGTTAATCAAACATGCTGTAGTTCAGTAGGCTAGTTTGGATACCAACAGGCTGCTGATTGGGATGGTTGAAATTTAATTTTCTTTTGGCAGACCTGTGACCTGATTTTCCTTCTTTCAGAGTCCCGACGCATCTTGCTGCCTGTAGTTCTTCACCACATTCACCTTCACCTGCGACAGCAGAAGGAGCTACTTATCTGTTCTGGGATCCTCAGTAGTATCTTCTCCATAATCAAGACCAGCTCTTTGGTAATCCCCTGCTTGATATTTTTTTTTTTTCTTTTTAATTGCACCACTGATTTAGTAAAATGAAGACTGAGGGATTTTTTTAGGTTAATACAGGTTTTTCGAAGATCCTTTTAAAAACAAATTTCTGCTAACTTTCTGTCAGCAGGAGAACATCTGAAATGAGGGTCTGCTTTTGTGTGTGTGACTCAGAGCGTTCTGATTACACAGTGTTCTTGCTGTTAGGAGGGGAAAAAAGCATATGCATTTACCAGGTTTGACACTATTTAATTTTCCTCATCCAAGCCCAGAACTTAGATGTCAATGGAGTTTAAAAGCTCTATGCAGCTCTAGGACTTGTAGTTCTGCAGGAGACAGTAACTAGCACTTTGTGATTCATGTTAAGAAATACTCTAAAATTATCCAATCAATGAAATCACACTTAGTTCTGGAAATTGCTGCTGAGTTTAAGCACCAAGGTTTGATGATCATAATACTCTGATCTCAAATGGTAACTTCATCATTTAAAGCAGTGCTCACAAACAGAGGGTGTTGAAGTTTCCCCACCTGACTCTAGAGGAGGAAGCTCATGGTGCTAAATATAATTCATACCAAATGAGTATTTCCAATTACAAGTTGCAGTTCTGTGTGAAAGGAATGAGGTGAAAGGTATCATGGTAATAAGCTAAAATAGTGCTGCCACGGAATAAAGGTTCCTGAACATAACTTGATCCCGTTGTGTTCTACAGTGTATGCAGACCTTTGATTATAGATTTACCTTTATGGCTGTGACCCTGAATGTTGCCATCAGAGACCGAGGAGGTAACACACACACTGGCATCACAACAGTATCTGGTACTCAATGATGAATTTGATTGTACTTCTTTGAATATCCATTGCGGAGCGCTCTATCAAAACGAGTATTTGTGGTATGGCTGACTCAGCAGAATTGTCTTTGCCAATTCCATTCTCTCCAGTTTCTAACTGTCTGTTTGCTCACCACTTACTGTAGGAGGGAGATGTCATGGAGGAGGTTGAGATGATGGTGGAGAGCCTCCTGGATGTGCTTTTACAAACTCTGCTTACAATCATGAGTAAATCGCAGTCTCAGGAGGCGGTAAGAGGGCAGCGTTGCCCGCAGTGCACAGCAGAAATCACTGTTAGTAACTAACAATCAGTTTCTATTTCCTGCTTCTCTAACCTTTGGTTCAGTCCCTCACCACCACCAGCACCTCATTATCATCTCTGCTGCATGAATGCCCAGGGCTTTGTCTCTTCCCTTAATAAGCCACAAATCCATTCCTTCCTCTGTGCAGTAGTGAGGTCTGCAGAAGCAGTGGAGCTCAGGAAGCTTTTGTGGATTTCCAGGTCATTTTCTTGTTTGTCTTTGCAGTTGTGATTGACAATTTAGAACTTGAGGCACATGCTAGCCAGGTAGCTGCCTAGGGCTTCACCCCTAAACAGGTGTCACCAAGGTCTATGTATCAGACTCTGATTCCAAAGACTGAGAATACATCACTCTCAGTGGACAAGTCCCTTTACTTCACGCCCTGGAGGGCTGCTGTCCAGGTTCACTGATTATTCCATGCAAAGGAAACACAACATAGTTTTGAAAAAGAAATTAACAGATCCTAAGTCAAGGGAGCCGTGGATCTTGGTAGGAGAAGCGGGAAAAGCCACCACCTTGTCCAGACTGCCAGCATAAGCCTAGGGGAAGAAATTTTTTCATTGACATATAATAGAAGAGGATAAAAAGAATAGAATTTTGCTGTTCGGCTCTGGTCTTTTCTGGATTCGTTGCCCTTTTCTGTTCTAGCCTATTTCAGTCTGTTTTCAGTTGTCGGAGTCTCTAATGCAGCTTTTGCACAATGTGTAATGTTAAGCTGTTGGTCAGAACATTCCTTTCTTTAGACTTGCTTTTTTTCAGATGGCTGAAACCTCAGAGATATTTTTGGGGGCAGATGTACACAAAGATACTCTTCTCACACAAGAGAAAAGATTATATCTTTCCACGCTAGCTCAGATAAAGTAACTTAACAGTAGAATCCTAATAAAGAACAAGGCATTTAGTAGTTTTAGACATGTTCTTTGATACGAAACAAGAAAGGCGCTAGCTTGCAAATGTCCAGTAACACCTCAATTTCCTTTTACTTCTACCATTTGACTCACTCTTATTTATCACATGCCACCATACACATAAGAGCACACCTTTTTCCTAATGAAGTTCAGCCCTGTAAAGTTTATTGCAACAACCTATGTCAAAGCTTCTGGGTAGATGCTTGAGCCAATTAGAAAAAGAATTAAAATGGAATGGACAGTCCCAAGTATAAAATCCCTTGTATTTGTTCCTGAGTTTATATTTCACGGCACAGTTATATGTGGAATCTTATTAGATACTGCTTAGAATGTAGCCTCTGTATTTTCCAAATTAATTGCTCATTGTCACAGGAAAAAAAATAGTGTTGTGCAAGGGATTGGCAGTCAAAAGACATACTCCTTACATTCTTGGCACTGCCTTTCTCATTATCTTGGACAGATTGCTTAACTTCTCTGTGCTTTGCTTTCAGATATGTAAAATGGGGGAGCTCATCTTTGGAAAACACTTTGGGATACTGTGGTAACTGGTTAGGGTGCTTCTGCTTTGCAGGCCAGAAATGTAATTGTAGCTCATGTAGGCTTACCCAAACTATATTCAGAATATCTTACTGGAATACTGTTAGTACTGTAGCTGTGACAGCACAGAACTGGTGAACACTAATAAGCCAAAGATTTACAAGATTCCAGACACCTTTTGTAGCCCATACTGATCCCATGCTGTCATCGTTATACTGTCTTGAGTATCTGAGCCAATTAGTTTAAGTAATTCCTGATATGTCTGCATGAGCTGCAGTCACACCTTTGATAGACATAGTATATTAAGTAACTGAAAAAGGTGACTGTCAAAAACTGCATGCTTGGAGGGTGATTCGTTAATGTCTCTATTAATAATTTTAAATTATTTTTGTTCAGACTACAAGATTGGTTAAAAGACCTTTAAAACTGGCATCTGTGGAGGAGCCTCCAAGAGGTGTATTCCCATGTATCAACAGTAATTCAGGAACTGTTAACGTGCAGGATTTTTAATCACTGTGCATGTCAGCTTTCCTCTCATAGGCATTGGGGCCATTTCAGACCCCTCCCTTTATACCTTACCTCAGGTTGAGTTTTATATTTATGAAATTTCGGATTGTGTAAATGAAATAGTTTTTCATTTGGTCAACAGGGAGAATATGTGTCCTGCCTTCTGTCTTTGCTTCGTCAGATGTCAGACACTCATTTCCAGCACTTACTGGACAACTTCCAAAGCAAGGATGAACTAAAGGTACAGCACAACATCATGTTTGTAGGGTGACTGACCCACAGTGAGAGAGTAGAGGGGGATCCCTCCAGCAGTACTTGCTCTGCTAATCATTCCCATTCACTGGCACTCTCTTCAAGGACCTTCCTTTCACCTTTTAATAACAGGTGTTATGTTATAAAAACATTTAAGACCACAGGGCACTGAACTGAATTCATAAGAGCAAATAAAGTCCAAAGATAGATGTTATTACACAGAAAAGGATATCGTTATTGTACCAGATAGCACACAGTCAAGAGGAGCAGATTTTTTTTAACCCCATGTAAAGTCAGTTGTTCTACAGCATTCTACTAGATGTTCAATATATGTTGAAGCTTATTTATGAAGAGTGTTGATTTTATGCCAAAAGATAATTTCAAGCCTTTTTGGGGATACAGATGTCTCTAGCAGAGGAAGTCTTTTTTGGGAAAGCAGTAACCTTACTACTCCACTTTCTGCATGCTTCCCAAATTTGTGAGCATTAACTTAAATCATGGCTATTCACGTACAGAAGGGGTTGGCAAGGGGTACAGACCTCTCTGGTGGCTCTTTTGCCATGGACATTTTGAAATGGCACACTCAAAACAGCAGAAACCAACGTTTTCAACTTCCACAGGAAAGAGGAGTATCTCTGACAGTCTGTTTAAAAGGCAGAATAATTTCATAAGTAAAGATAAGATTTTGGATAAAATGCTTTTGATTAGCATGGCACTCAATAAAATATGAACAATAAGAAAAATGTAACGTGGCAGGAACTTAATGTTGCCTTAACAAATGAGATGGAGAAACAGAGAGAAATCCTCTCTGAATAGGCTTTCAGCTTCGAAATATTTCATGTACATACTGAGAGGCTGAATAAATCAGGGAGATAAATTTGGGACAATAGAATTCTTACCTCTAGGTTGCAGGGTTCAATTATCTCAGGTTGATAGTTATCTGAGATTACTACCTTTCAGATAACTTCTGAATTGCTCATAGGAAAATTATTTGGTAAATTAATTCATATTAATTTTAATAGGTATTTTTAAAAGCTATCTAAACTATAGTTCTTATGTCAGACCAGTGAAAAGGTTTGCCATTGAACTGAAATTGGTCTTCACACCCATAAGAACAAACACTGTTGTATCTCCAGCAATCTAAGGGTATGTTCCGGAGCATCACAGGGGCTGAAGATTTTTATACCCAGCTTTTTTCCAACTGTCAGTTGACCTAATAAAATATATTACTTTTTCTCTTTCAAATATTGCTGTAATAATATTTCCAATACTGTTTCATGGATGGAAAGGCATTACATTCACTCATCACTGTGACATCTAGGCAAAAATGAGGCTGAAAGTCAAGGAGCTTCTGATGATTTACTCTTAGCTTAGTTACACCAAGATCACAGAATCACAGAATGTTCAGGGTTGGCAGGGACCTCTGTGGGCCATCTAGTCCAACCCCCCTGCCAAAGCAGGGTCACCTACAGCAGGCTGCAGAGGACCTTGTCCAGGCAGGTCTTGAATATCTCCAGAGAAGGAGACCCCACAACCTCCCTGGGCAGCCTGTTCCAGTGCTCCGTCACCCTCAGAGGGAAGAAGTTCTTCCTCATGTTCAGACGGAACTTCCTCTGCTTCAGTTTGTGCCCATTGCCCCTTGTCCTGTTGCTGGGCACCACTGAAAAGAGCTTGGCCCCATCCTCCTGACACCCACCCTGCAGATATTTATAGGCATTTATTAGGTCCCCTCGCAGCCTTCTCTTCTTCAGGCTGAACGAGCCCAGCTCCCTCAGCCTCTCCTCATAGGAGAGATGCTCCAGTTCCCCCCCATCTCCCCCAAAATTAAGGCATAATGGTAGGACAGTTTTGAAGAAACTCTGCACTGCCACTTGCTATCTTCATTTTGTGTAGAAGAAAAACAAAACAACAAAATCATAGTTTGCATGTGCAACAACTTGGCATGTTTTATCCTCGCTGTTGTTTTTTATAGATGTAGAGGTGCAGGTAGTCAAAAAACGGAAATGTCTTCAGGTTTGGGGAATTTTTTGGAAAGCAAATATTCAGCTTAAATCTGCATGAGAGATCTTTTCTGCTGCATATTGCCAGAAATGGGGTTTTCTGTTACTATTTTTAAAAGTGCACATAGGAGTTTTATTGGGTTTGAGCGTGGGGGGGTTGTCAAATTTGTGACATAAGCACAAAGAAATTTGGACAGATACATTAATTAATTGAATGCATAAATAAATGGTTATTATTCCAGTATATTTGAAAATAGCTGCAAATTGACACTGGAACTCTAGATGATAATACGTGAAGTCATATACAGTTGTGCACATAAGAAAGTTTCTCATCGCACTGTAGAAGTTAAGCTTTAAAAGACAGCTGCAACTTGTTTAGTACGTATTAGATGTGTACAAAAAGAAAGAGAGCCATATCCCAATACATGTTGTTTCCATGTTTTCAGGTGAATGGCCTAGTGACACAAAGCTCAAGTGGAGCACACTTGGCTTTTAACTGTCTTTCTTATAATCAAGAAAACAGATTTATGTGCAGCTGCTGGTGATTTTTAATTCTTTTCTCCCTATCTGATAGGAGTTCCTCCTGAAGATTTTCTGTGTATTTCGGAACCTGATGAAAATGAGTGTCTTTCCTCGAGACTGGATGGTGATGAGGTTGCTTACCAGCAAGTAAGTAGAGAAGCAGGTATAAACTGGTGACATTCTATATCAGAATTTTTTCTCCTCAGCTGAGCAGTTAAAGCCTGTGATGCAGCGTTTCGTCAGACTGAGATGTGGTAATCAACAGGAATTCTGGAGTGCTCATCCTCATTCTGCAGTTACTTCAACACTCTGGACCAAACTGGGACATTATATTCATTCTGTTTCTGAAACTCTACCAGGATGTGCAGGTAGCAGAGAATTAAAAGTTTAAGCCCAAAGCTGAAGTAGTTGCGTTGAGGGTAAGAGTGGCACAGCAGCTGTGGTAACACATGGCAAGGAACAGCGACCCGCACCAAGTGGTATTAACAGGCAGGCTCTCAACTCCTGTTCTCAGTAAATGACTACACTAAATGTCAGTCTCTTCCCATAAGCGTTGCTCCTTAGCCTGCCTAGGAGGAGGATGCAGTTATTGTAGAAGAGGAGGAGCATACGCTAGTGACAATAAGTGACACCAAGTGCTTTACTGACAGAGTTGTTTCTCAATTAAATTGTCATCTACCACTTTAATGCTTAACTTTATCTGTTTTTCTTGCTTCTGATGGGTTAAGTACTATGCTGTTTGGAATGGCAGCAGTGTGATGAACACAGTGTGGCTGAAACTATTTATTAGTTTCTTGTTTCTTTAGATAAACTAGCCATAGAATTACCACTGACTGACAACTGGAGGGGTTCCCGTTACAAGAAGACACCAGAGCAGTTTTCCTAAAGGCTGACTGCTCAGCCGAGCTGTATGCTCCGCAAGTTCACAGCACTAATGGGAAGTGAAAGAAGTGGATTTCAGTATTTCAAGTGCAAAGATTAAATAAAGATCTGTAAGAAAAGAAAAACCCACATGAAAAGAGTAGCTACCTCTGTAAATGCTGTAGGGTACCTGGTTCCCTTTGGCACAATTTTGCCGTAGACCTTTAGACTGATAGGTATGGTTAGCAGCATTACTGGAAGTGTTGCTTTCACGTGAATCAGATGTGCTGTTTCTTTTGATACTATTTTTGCCTTATCTACATGCTATTTACTAATTCCTGAATTTATCACGTGCCTTGATAAATACACTGAGGTGTATTTAGCTACCTACGAACAAATACCAGGGAATCCAGAATTGTGAAACACTCAAAATACTCACAGTTCAGTTTAAGTGTGTGCCAGATAAAGGACCATTGTATCGCCAAGACTGAAAATAGCTCAGACTTTCCGAGTTGCTCTTCTTTGGGGAGAAAAAAAAAAAGTCTTTCATCTTAAAATAGGAGAAAGATATGTGTATTCTGTTGTTTCACTGAAGATAATATGGCCCAGCACTACAAGAGACAGGATTTTAACTGCTCCTATGTAAATTCCAAAAATCCCAATGATGATGAAAAATTTTAATCTTGTATCAGTTAGTACAAATTGTTTCTTAAAACATAGAAAGATCGGTGACTTCTATGTGAATCTAGCCATGATTATATGAAGAATGCTCATCTTTGTATGTACAGTAAAATCAGCGCCACCCACTGTAATGTTGTACTCCAGGCTCAAATGTGCTTTTTTTCTTTTCTTTCTTTTTTTTTTGTTTTTGACTGCAGTATCATAGTGACAACAGTTCAGTACCTGTCTTCTGCACTGCATAAGAACTTCACGGAAACAGACTTTGATTTTAAAGTAAGAATCGATACTGAGAAAATGTTATGACAGTTTTTTAAACTAGCAGTAACAAAGGAACAAGAGCTCCTCTCTACATTAGCTGATTAAATTTGAAGCATTTATGTGAGTATCTGTGAGGAAGATGACCTAGCTGATAAAAGACAGGAATTTGAATTGCTGTGGAATTGAGGGAAAGGAGAACAGATACACTGTGAGATCAGATCAAGAACATGGAGCCCCTCAGAAAGGAAGCAAGCATCTTCATAAGCAGAGGAGCTAATGAAGCATGTTGTCTTACAGATTCAGAGCCAATAAAATGTAAACTCAGGCAATGCTTCTCCCGAGGTTGGGGCATTCATCATCTTCCTCTCCCAGCAGTCTCTCTTTCTGGCTGTTGCCTTAAAACTTGGAGGAACACAGTATCAGAGTGTTTTCTGATCATATGTCTGATGTCGCTGAAAATGGGCAACAAGCTCCGTGTTACTCAGGAAAAGCTGCCAGATGTGCACCCAGGCACGTGTACACACAGCGTGATGGCAAAAGCCTCATTTCTTTGGGAAAACTGACTAAATTATAGGGCTCTACTTCATGATATGATGTAATCTCTGGGGCTTTTTGAGGGGTAAGATCTGTTTAGCCTAGAGAAAAAAACAATTTAAAACTTCCCTGAAGTCACCAAGTTTATTCATTTTTGAACTCTGGTGCTAAGGGGAAAGCCCAGTGGTGTTATCTTCTTGGGGTTTTTAATTTTAGTTCCTACCAGGTTTTAAATAATCCATTGGTATCCTTAAGAGTTTAGCTTCTCCATAGTTAAGATACATCTTGATTAAGTTACATCTTGATTACAAAAAGGAACAGTCTCATTCTACATATAAAGGAACATATGTCTTCCTGCATTTGTTTAAAACTTACTCCTTAGAGTGTAATGCTGTAAAACTTCTTCCTGTGTCACAGGTGTGGAACTCTTATTTCAGCCTGGCAGTTTTGTTTATAAACCAGCCAAGTCTCCAACTAGAAAATGCCACACCAGCTAAGAGGAAGAAGATTCTGGATAAGTAAGAACATACTGTGTTGGGTTCCCAGCTTTTTCTGCCACCTCAAAAATAAGACTTTTTTTGTTTTTTTTACCACAAGTCCCTGTGATTTATTATGGAACTTGGGATGTGGAAATACTTGGGAAATAAATAAGTAGATCTCCTAATACAATGTTCAGTGATTAGTTGAGTTGTTTGATTTTCTTATGTTGACTTAAATGTGAATTTGATTTTTTTCTTTTTTTATCATCACTGCCTTGCTAGGTTTTGTTCCATTAGGCAGTTGTCTATCTTGTCTCTTTCAGATACGGCGATATGAGAGTGATGATGGCGTATGAGCTCTTCAGCATGTGGCAGAACCTGGGTATGTCTCTTCCTTCTCTGTTCTAAGACTAAAGCCAGAGTAACCCCAGATTTGTGTTGGGTTTTTTTGTTTCTTTGTTTTTCGCTTACTTTTTTTAGCACCATAGAATACTTAGTTTCTCTTAAGAGTTGTAAAACCAGGAAGCACTTCTCCCACCAAAAACTCTCTTCTGCACTGTCTCATCGTACTTTTTTATTTGAAATAATACATTCCTGTGAATTTGAATGCTTTCTCCTCCAATGCGACAGTGGCAGGTTTTGGTTGTTTTGACACATGAGTGACAGTTTTCATGTATTTGCAAACATAAAATCAGCTTTCTTGAATCCCTTCGGCTGTGCTGCAGTCAGGTCTGACTTTTGTCTGATCCATGGCTGTAAAGCAGAAATTTGAATTTTCACAGCTGTAACCAACTTTATAATTTTGTAGACAATTCAAAAGCCGAAGTTGTCATGATTCAAAATGATAGAATCATCTAGGTTGGAAAAGACACTTAAGATCATTGAGTCCAACTGTAACCCTAACACTGCCAAGTCCACCACTAAACCATAGCTATGTGTGTTTGATAACAACGCCCAGAAGTGGCAAACCGTAAAGCTTCTTTTTTTGGTGTCTTCAGATATGTTGTATGCATAACAAATTCTATGTTACTACTTTAAAAAGGAAAAAAAAAACCAAAAAAAAAAAACAAAACAAAAGGGGGAAACCCAAACCAATGCCCACAAAAGCCCTGTCCACCATAACACAGTGTTTGTGATAAAATTTCAACTTCTGCAATTCATTTCGCCTTTTCCTATATATTTTGATGAAGAAATTAAGCATGTTACAAAATGTGGAAAAATATATCTTGCTACAGGTCTCAAAAGGTAAATGGAGATTTTTCATCTAGGACTTGGGCTTTCAGAAGTGTTCTGCACCAGTCTTGAGTTTAGGTAATTCAGGGTTTTATTAGTAGAAGAGCCAAATGACATCTGTACTGCATCAGAGCAAGTCCAGCTAGGCCAGCATCCAGTGTTCATCAGGGACCAAAAGTGAATCCTGTGGAAATGTCTGAGCACAAAGGAAGTGTACAGCATTCTAGAGGAAAATTCAAAAAAGTCAGCTGTTTGGGATCACAAATCAGACAAGGTTCTGGAAGAGGTAAATCATTAAGAGGGCAAAGGAATGATACAAATCGGAGTGGATAACTTGATGAAGTGGCTGCAAGCAATATATTCAAAAAGCCAGATATGAACATTTTATTTGCAGGAATATAGGTAGGAGTGCTATTCAAAAAAACAAAGACTACAAATGTATCATGCTGATAATCAGCTGAATGGGAGCTACCTGTGAAATGCCATGAGTAAAACAGATACCATAATCTTTGAGAAAATGACTAAGAATCTTGGGTAAGAGAAGAGGGACAATATTACTGCCATTTTTTTCATAAGTGCACTTGATTCTAGAATAGTATGCCCGGTCCTGCTTTCTGCAGCTCAAAAAACCCCAAAGACAAGCTGGACAGAGCTCAGAGAACCGTCAGGAAGATGATGACTACAGAAATAAGAAAATGCCATATTACAAAATACGGAATCAGCCTGACCTGTCTTGCAAAACTGAGATGATACAGCCAGACTTGATCACAGTCTCTAAGGATCTGTGTGGAGAATAGAAGGCTCTCCAATATAACAGAGATCAAATAACCAGAAAATAATGCCAGACAAATTCAAGTAAGAAATGAGAAGCCCATTTTAGATATGTAGAGATATTTATCACTGAATGTTGTTCCAAATATTACTATTTTGATTTATTCTCTGCGAGTGCACAGTAAGCATGCCATGGAAGAGACTTAGCAAAATGCCTTGGGTTTCTGTTGCTGAGAAGCCATGCAATTTGGTCCTAAGTCAAGGTCAGTTATCAAACTGAGACTGCCAGAGTACTGAGGGTGAAGAGCTCTGTAGGTCACCGAAATCTCAATATGTTCTATTAAATACCATTGTTCTCACCAGCCCTTTCAAAATCTTGTTCTTCATAAATGAGAAGTATCTGTGGCCTCTTTTCCCCCTAGTTAATATGTTTAGTTTGGTTGGTTTTGACAGTTTTAATTCCTTTGCAAGTAAAATGCACTGACAACTTTTGCCGTGGGCTTTCACAGGGAAATTAAAAATGCTCATAGAGACTTTGCAAGGAATGGTGTAAAGCAAATAGTGGTTTTCCAGTCCTTGCAGGAAAAGAAAATGTGTTTTCTTTTCTAATGCTCATGCATACTGCTTTGGATATGTCATCATTGCCGGGGTTCCCCATTTTCTCAGTGACAGATAACAAAGGCTTTTATTTAATTACAGTTCCTTTGTGTTGTACAGGTGAGCATAAGATTCACTTTATTCCGGGAATGATTGGCCCCTTTCTTGGTGTTACACTTGTTCCACAACCAGAAGTCCGGAATATCATGATCCCCATCTTCCATGACATGATGGACTGGGAGCAGAGAAAGAATGGCAACTTCAAACAGGTGAGGTTGCTTCCCAAGCATTTGCAGTGTTCTTTTTCTGGTTCTGTCTATCTGCAATGTCCAGCTGGAAGCAAGGAGTTTGTATCTGCTGATTGGTTTCTGGTTATGAAGACGACGTTGTCATGTAACTATAGAAAAATAGAAAATTTGAAGTATATTTCACAAAACTATTACAAGACTCCCAAGATTATTTAAAGAGTGCACTTTACAGCTAGCTAAATTTTCCGTGAACATAGAGAAGAGGAGCAATGTGCTCATCGTGTCAGAGATGAGGAAAAGAATTTTGTAAGTGCTGGGCTCCCACTGCTCCCATTGGTTTCAGTTAGATGATTAGTCCACCATTAAATGGGTCAGACCGAGAACCAAAAATGGAGACACAAAGATTTAGCCAGTATTTGTGAAAACAGTGGTCTTTGCTTCTCTGTCTTCAATTTCCATCTGCAAAGTGGAACTGTATAATGCAGTAACTATACCACGCTTTGAAACGGACCTTGCAACTGTATCTTCTTCAAGAAATTGTAGCAACTCCCCTGGAGTGGTTATGCCCAAGGACAGTTCTGTAGTTTCCACTTTCTGTGAGCTCTGATTGCAGAATGGGCAGTGGGGGCTTCATCATTTTGTTGCCCAGTCATGGCCAGAGAATTGCTAAAATTTTCCACTGGAAAACAGATCCCCAAAGTGCGAAGTATTAATAACGAAGGATGGGTTTGCGCTGGATCCTCAGACGACAGTGCTTCATTGTCATTGTGTTTGGGACAACACTGGGCACGGGTATCTGCAGATGAGTGCTCTGAAGTAGTAAATCCTTTTATTGAAATTATTGTAATTCAGGTGATGATTTATTATCCACAAACTCATTAAAATTTCAGATCTGATCGATTGTTCCAGGAGAATACCAGACCTTTTCAATAACCTGACCTACTAAAGGCTGTGTGGAAAAGTATTATGAGGAGCTTATGTTTCTCTCCCTCTTCAACTACCTTGATTATTATTACTAACATTATTATTATTATTACTACTACTATTATTATTACAATGGCATTTGATCGTGGTCCTCTTTTTGCTGTTTTAGCGTAACAGTAGAACAGTCCCTGCTCTGGCATTTACAGTTATAAGTACCTGCAGTCATCTTTAAGTTTCTGGACCTGTTCATAGTTTCTGTATCAAGATGAACTCTTCATAATCTTCATTTAATTTTTATACTCATTAAGGTACTCTAAACTAGAGCTCCAAGAATATTGCTTCAGTTACCCATGGAGCAAATTTCCACACTGTTTTATGAAGCATATGTCATAACTTTCCAAGATTAAAGACAGAATCATGATCTGTCTTGGAATGAAATAAGCAGTTAAGTAACACCAGATGTATTAACTTTTAGGAAGTTATTTGTTGTCCAGTGTAACACGAGGCAGCTGGGCAGCTGCATTACTGATCTCTGTCAAGTCATTGTAGATCACAGGCAAAGAAAGGGAAGGGTTTTTTAATTCTGAGCTTCTCTTTACTGTTTGAATACTAAATTGGTTGTCAGAAAACACAAAAATCCTGGAAATTCATTTTCAAGCCCTTTTTTTTTTATTTTCTTCAGTAGCTCATGATTTAACAAGGTTGTTTTTTAATGATTTAATGATTTCAGCAACAAGAGCACCAACTCCATTTGTGTGCCACTGAGTGTTTTGCTTTTCCTTCTCATCTTTAATTCCTTTGCAATTTGGCAGCTGAAAAACATAAAGAAACTCAGACTATACTTGTCTTTACATAAAAACAAGCTATATTTCTACAAGCAGTTCCAACCTTAAGGAGCCTCTGTCTTCATTAGTACTGAAAGTATGTTTTCCATGAGATTTCTAAGGCTACATGAAATTTTCTTGTATAATGTTAGATACATTGATTTCTGCACTTGAATCAATTTTATGGGAATATCTGATATCCAACATGATAACAATGTATTAGACTTGGGGTGAAATGAACACATTCAAAACCTTTGTAAAGGAAGAGAAACATGATGATACTGTTGTGGCCCTTTATGTACGTGTGAAAAGAACATGCATAATATAGTCACAGAGAGGCTTGACAAAACTGGGTTTAATGAACAAATAATCTTCCAATATAATGATGCCTGGGTGACTGGAAATCAGTTACCTACTGGCAGAACCAGCACAGCAGACCAGTGGCGATCACACCATGAACTAGTTTCTCTGTGTGGATATTCTGTTACAGTACAGGATATAGTTTTATCTGATACAATGCTTCACAGGAAGTGGTTTATTTGGTGAGAGAATAAACTGCAGAAATTCCTGTGAAGAAGTAGCGTTACGTCTCGTGGGATGTTCACTTAGACCATGATACGCAAAAGGATAATTTAGTTTTAATCCTCTTATTTCACTGAAGAATGAGAAAAGTATGTCCATTTCATTGAGCCACAGAGAAATAAATCACTCACGCATAGAAGTGGGCAGCCCCAGGGCATGAGAAATAAAATATTCTTCCAGTCTTCCTCGTGTTTGGAGCTCTTGTCTTCTACGTGAACAGCTAATTTGTAACCAGTCGCTTCTTCATGCAGGTGGAGGCTGAGCTGATCGATAAGCTGGACAGCCTGGTATCCGAAGGAAAAGGCGATGAGAACTACCGGGAACTCTTCAGCCTGCTGTAAGCTGCACCAGTTTCTGCTCGCTGCGTTGTGCAGGGTCATAGAAAGAGCCAGAGCAATGATCTGTGCAGCCGCAGCAGCTACAGCGCTGATCTTCAGAGAAAGCAGTAAGGGCTTTCCGGCAGGTTTTCATGACATGGCTCAGTGAAATAGAAATATGTCACTCTAATTCTGAAAAGAATATAAGAAACTAAATTCTTCTTTGTCGTCTTGTGGTGAAATCTAATATAAGGCTGCACAGGTAAGCGGTTAACATCCTCCTGTCAACAACTGATTTGCTAGAGGAGGCAGTGCCTTTCTTTTTACGTAGCAGTAAGGGAAATCATGGCCTTAGGCTTGTTCGGAGGAACAGTGTGCTATGTAGCAAGTCAGGCCTTGTTAGAGCACAAGGGCATTTTCCTTTGCTTGTTCCCATTTTTGAAGGTCATGTTTTGGTTGGCTCAACAGTTGCAAGTTGTTTCCTCTAGAGTACGTCATGACACTATTTCCACTCCCTTTCAAAAATCCAGTACTCGTACAGATAAACCTAAAGCCTTTACATCTGACTTTCCACTAGTTATCTTTCACTACTGACCTGTCTCCAGATACCATTTCCAGTGATCCTAGTTTATTCCAAAAGGACTTATTTTGAACACTGAGACTCGGGAGCAGTTAACCGTAAATCTTCCAATATTCCAGTGAGCCCTGGAGATCATTAGCAGAACTTTAGCCATATATTCCAGACAATTGTATGTGGCTCCTGGTAGCATGCTGGCACTTTAAGGCATAAACCTTTGTTTTGCTAGAACCAGTACTTGTATTTCTGAAATTACAATTGCACATTCATTCATTTTCAGAATAGAGAAGCCTGTCCATCCTGTATGCTTATCCTTAGGAAGCATCTACATGTATTCGGGTTTGATTGGTGCATATTCAGCCTTGGGAAGTCGGGTACTTTATGTGTACAGAGAACAGAAGTCTATTTCAGGGGTAAAGGAAAGAAAATAGCTATCCTTTTTTTCTCTTTATTCACCTGGCAAGAGGAATATTGTGCATTTCCTTTGTTCCAGTCGAAGAGATTTGTTACCCGAAATGTTAAGAATTCAGGGACTGTAGCTTGTTACTTATTTTTAGATGATAGTGGCTGCATGTATTACCAAGAAACACAGCCTGGAAGTCCAGCAACCTTTAGTTTAGATTTGCTACTGACTTTCCTGAGAACAATGTGAACTTTGAGGAAACAGTTCCACAAAGTTAATAAATGCTGTGTGAAATAAACAACTGTTCCAGCTATACTGCTGAAACGTGATTTGGCTCCCTCAGCTGGAAATCATTCCTGTGCAGAAGAGTTTGCCTCTCCTGAGGATATGTATGACACCCAACAGAATTACTTTCCTCTTGCCAGTATGGAAGTGGCAAGTTCTTTGACCAGAGATCCGGTTTCAGCAGACTAGCATGTAAATTTGCTTTCTCTTTTCACTTTTTAGGTCTGATTTTCAGTGTTCTCGTTCTAGCCTTCTCTTATCCTTCACAATTGTCTCAGTGGGATGCTCCCTGTACTGTCTCGTTTGCTGAGCAGGAAAAGATTGCCTTTATTTATTCACAGTTGAAATAAATTGTGATTCAAGGTTGGGTGGTTGGTTGCTCATTAGAGACGAAAATTTATGTGGGGATGAGCAGAAAAGAGGTATTTGCATTAGGTTTAGACTCCCTTCCAACTTCTGACTGCTGTTAGCAGTATTTAAACTACAGGTAATAATGTGGGAATCCACTGTTGCCATGGGCATTGCTCTTTTTCATATATTTTAAATGGCAATGTGAAGATACTTTTCCTTCTTCTGTCAATTCTGTAATTCCCTTGTCTTTGCTTCATGCTGCCTGGAGTAGAACCCAGCTCTTTGGGCCTTATCCTAGGTAAGACAGCAATTCTATGAATTTGTTTGATGAGGGAGAAACCAAGCTGTCCACAGCTGTCTGCATGCACTGTACCATTTCCCTGGAAGCCTCATCTGCTGCCTTCTTGTCTCCAAACAGTTTGCTGGAGAAGATTGAGCAGGAAACATGGCGAGAGACGGGAATCTCTTTTGTTACATCAGTTACTCGTCTCATGGAGCGTCTGCTTGACTATAGGTATCTGGCACCAACAGTAATATATTCTAAGAAGTTTGTAAAGAGGTAGTACCAAATTTCTTTTCCACGGGGAATATTTTTATTGTTTACCAAGCTGCATGCTTCTCTGATGGCAGTACCATGTAGGCAAGCCTAACTCATTGCTGCTAGGTTCTGACCAAAAATCCTAAACCCACATCTCTACAGCCCTAACTCGCATTCCTGTGTGCTCGTTGCTCGTAGTAGCAAAGATAAATTTTTTAATTAGTAGTTCTGTACTAAGGTTCAGTCAGGTTGCCAAATGATTAATTCCTTCTATCACTGAAATGATCTGGCCTAATTCAGCAGAACAGATGCTGAATGCAAGCATGATCTCGAATGCCTTGCTGAAGCACCATGTGCTGAATGCCTCATCAAGACGTGCAGGGTTCGAGGAAAGTCTGACCTGGCTGCTGGTGACTAGTGTGCAAGACTTCACTATAAATGAGGCACCTTTTGTTTAGTTTTAGACTGAAGTCTGCAGAACTATTGTGTCGATGCAGCTGAGCTTTGACTGGGTTACAAGATAATATTCTACCTTCGTATATATACACACACACACTCGGAGCTGTTTTTATGGAATGATAGACAGTTTGAAACTATGGAAGCTATACAGAACTGCCCCAGGTATTTCTATCTTCAACCTACTGACAAGAGTTCAAATCATTTTTGCTGCTGCTGCTGCTGCTCTTTATAGGTGACTAGGCTGGGTATTCTGCAATCCCACGTCCTTTTCTCTGCTTTTTGGTTTGCTCTTTTTGTTAGCCTTACAAGTTTGATTCAATCTCCTGTTTGTTTCCTGAAAAGGGCTACTGTACAACTACTATGCAAGACCAGGTATCTGTGACACTTTAAAGAGAATGCAAGGGAGCTGATTTTTTTAAATTTAATTAATACACATTTTCATACTTAATTCAGAAACAGATACCAGTTTTTAATTGATTTTTAACACACAGATTTTTTCATTAACAGAACAGGGAATCGCACCGGAATTTGGAAATACACAGGCATCTCTTGGAGTCCAGCTGCCACTTGGTGACACAGCAGCTCTCAAGACAGTTGGCTCTGTCACTGCTTTAAAAATTTTGTCTTTTTCACAAATGAATGTGACTTTTTTCAAGTCAAGATTAGTAATTTCTGAAGCCTTTAACTTTTTCTACTGCTTGAATAGATATAATTTCTAAAATATTCCAGAAAATAAAGATAAATTTTGTGACTTAGCTTACTCGTGAATAAGTCAGTAATCTAGTCTAAATTACTCAGGTTGTATCTTTCAGCTTGCTGACACTGCACTGGATAGCTGAATTTATGAATACTAATCCTTTGACTGGGAAACCATTAAGCATTAAGCATTAACATCTGGATAAATAATAATTTTTCGCTTTTATAGTAGATCTTTTGCTCAGGTGATTTTTGGCCACTATTACCTGATTTTTGTTAAGATTCTTGTAAGAAATGGTGCTTGTTCTCAGATGCAGACATGTAAGAGGACACTTAGTTCTCGTATCATTTAAGCCGTAATACAGAAAATTTTTTTGGAGGAAAATATAAAGTATATGATTATTTTGTGATCCAAGGAAGCTCTGGAGAATAAGATAGCTTCGAATTTATTTTGAAAGGACTTTTTTTGCAGATGTATGTTTCACCATTGCTCTGCTTTCTTAGGGACTGTATGAAAGGAGATGAAACAGAAAACAAGAAGATTGGCTGCACTGTTAACCTTATGGTAAAGACGCTTCCTTTCTCTCTTTGTGATACTGTGCAATGTTGTCGAAACTGGGGTGGGAAAGGTTGGGACGGGAATGTGTGTCAGGCAAGCGTAGAAGGCAGAAGGACAGCGGTTGTGAGGATCCCCTGGAGGTCCCTGGTCCAATTCTGCCTAAAGCACGGCCACACAGGTCAGGTTGCTCAGGGCCTTGTCCACCTGAGCGCGGAGTATCCCTGTGACAGAGGTTCTATAACCTCTCTCGCCTTTTTTTTCAGCTTTTGACTACCCTAATTTTGAAAAAAAAACCATCACACAATAAAATTAGTGGGTTAAATCAGTGTGAATGTGAAAATAATTATTCCTCCTTTTACACTAATAATGTATTATCTTTTCAATACCTTTATATGTATACACAGATGCTGCTGATTGTCTTGAATGAAGAGTCTCAATAACAACTCTCTCTTTTCTTTCACAGAATTTCTATAAATCTGAAATTAACAAGGAAGAGATGTACATCCGCTATATCCACAAGCTGTGTGACATGCACTTACAGGCTGAGAACTATACAGGTCAGTAAGACATCATCTGGGGATGGTCTGAAATCCTGGTGAAAAGTTTTTGACTCTCCCAACGTTATACTTTAACTTCTGATTCGCTCTTTTGGAAGAAATATGCATGAATCAGTTACAGCAGTTGGGAAGATCAGAAGGTGAGGTCCAGCCCATTCCCTCAAGTGAAACAATCTATGTCTGTGCCCACACAACCATAAGACTATTCCGTTACACCCCGAATTTTACATTCAAGTGTTCTACAAGGAAGATACATAAAAAAAATCACAACAGTGGAATCAAAATTAGAGGAGGATTAAAATCATAAACGCCCTGGTATATTATCATTTGCCATATTTCCTTGCATTGCAGTATTTTAGGGAGCACTTAGAAAGTCCGTAGACTTTAATTCTGTGTTGTCCATGCTCTGTTTACAGCTGCAGGCCCCAAATCTAGTTAGTTACATATCTGAGTATCTGACTAGAGCATTTTAATCAAGTAGCTAGTAAAAGGAAACTTGACAGATTTGTACCTAAAAATCAGGTGCATAGGAAACAGCTTTGTGCTGGTATTTTAAGTAATTGAATAATTTAATGATCCCTGAAGACTGAAGAATTGTTCCTCATACTGTAAATCAGAAAAAAAAGGAATGCCAGACTGTTTAAGAAGCAGAACTAGTGACCTTTCAACCCACTGGTATTTGTTGTCACTGATTCAGTGTTCAATAACTGCATTTCCAACAGAGGCTGCGTTTACTTTGCTTTTGTACTGTGAGTTGCTTCAGTGGGAGGACAGACCTCTGAGAGAGTTCCTGCATTATCCGTCTCAGTCAGAGTGGCAGCGTAAGGAAGGTCTGTGCCGTAAGATTATCCATTACTTCAACAAAGGGAAGGTATGCCAACTTCTTCTCTCTTCCAGCAGCTTCCTTCCCTTTTCCTGACATATGGCTTGCAAGCCTATCATCTCAGTTCAGTAGTCTGGAATTAAATTTATATCAAAAAGTTTTATAACTTGACAGATTGCTTCTTGGCTCTCTGGACGGGAAAGCAGATAAGAAAATGGATATGGGTATTTCATTGTGCGCAGCATTTGAAACTGGTTTAGGTAGGCCAACAGGAAAAACACCAAAACACTTTTATATCTTTAAACCAAACTTTGGATCACCTGATGTGGCAGAGAGCTCCATGAATGTCAGTTCCTTAGTTTTTAGGGGGTGGGATTGCATTTTGTTGTTGTCTATGCAAATTACTGCGTTACGACTCATGGACTTGTTTTGTTCCTAACCTGCAAAAGTAAATGGCAGGCAATGCACTGCAGGAGTCTCTTTATTAAAAAATATTTAAGTCCTTTCAGTATCACTGTTATTTTAAAGTGGCTTTCAGTTCAAGTGCAGTTCCATCCATTGCACAAGAAGAAAATCAATACATTTCAATTTCACATATTCAGTAGTTTCTCCTACAATTTTTTTTTTTTAATTACTGCAGAGGCAGGTGTTATAGTCCCTTGTGTCAGGGTGTTTTGGGAACGCTTCAGAGGTGAACCTTGAAAGTGGTATCAGCTGTCAGAATATCTTCACATTTTTCCCTTACCTAGAAAAATTCCTACAGTTTATATTATTGGAAGGTAATATCTGTATGTGTGCCTCAGGGCTGTTTTTGCCTGTGATGGCAATGACCGTGGCATTAAATACCAATGTGATTTGGTTCATACACGGTTGCCATTCCAGATAATTCCTCCCTAGCCCTGGTAACAGCAAGTTGCATATGGCAGAGTCACGCTCTACAGAACCTGCAAAAGAAGTCAGATTCCTGCATGTAGGAAGAAGTGGCCTGTTGATGAGGAAGTGATTAATTAAGACCAAATTTTTTTCTTGGCCAAAATTGTTCTTTTGTAATAATATTGCACGTGGTTCTCTTTTCAGTTCCAGAAATTTTTAGGGTTTTTCAGACTGCACTTAAATAAATTACTGACTTGTACAAACATTGCAGTGTGGTACTGTCTGACTAGACAAAGATGATCTAGAGACTATGTAAAACAAGTGAGTCTGTAATTTTGACAGAAACAGGCATTCCGTTTACGCACTGAAGGGGAATAAAAACTTGACGGATGTAATTTTGCTATAAAACTCCTAATGGATTATAGTGTGTTAAACTCTTGAGGTTTTTTCCCACTGGATGTTTTTGGAGTTACTTGACTTTGTGTTTTAATCCTCCTTTATTATAAATGGTAGCTGAATGACTAAATAATCCACTTAAGCAGTGTCTATGTCACTCAAGCCACAGAAGTGAAAGATGCTGACATGCCAAATCCTCCTGCTGCTTTTCAGCACTCTGTTGCTGTGTAACAGGGAATGGAAGAAACTTCCTTCCCTCAACCTGTGTCTCATAGTTTCTTTCTGCACTACCCTGAGATGGTCCCTCTTCAGGTCCTGAAGAGTGGAATTTGTTGTTCTGTGTCCCACAGTTGCATTCTAGAGTTAAGTTTCTCATGGTGCTCCTGGCATCTTCCACTAAGGGGGTCAAAGCAGCATGAAAAGGGTGCAAAAATCCTGCATTTTTTAATGGAAAAATTTTCTCAGCACAGCAATGGGGGGAAACTATGGCCACAAGACTGTCTTGTGAGGTTGACGTAAAGGGCATGCCAGTGGAGGGCAAGGAGTGGTGGTGTGGCTGTGGCAGGCCTGGGGCCACGGCAGTGGAGTGCAGAACTGAGTAACTCCCATTCCCAGTATGGAAGCATCCCTGCCCTGGGAAGGAACAAGGTGTTCCAAAGCCCTTTTAGCCTTCACTCCGGTTGTGGATTTTGTCTGTTAAAACTCAAGGTGTTCTAGTTGGAGACTGTAAATGGAACAATTTGAACCCAACTGATCATGCTTCTGGACAGCCATAGCTTGAAAACTACACAACCCTTTTCTGTCTAGTTCACTGCTAGATTTGATTAACTAAAACTCCTGACCAGCTTCCATCACAGCATCGCAGTGTGTATTCTCCTTAGCGCCAGCCAAGTGCTGTGAGAGACCCAAAGCTGACTTTCCAAAGCAGTTCATTTTTGGATCGTGTGCTCCATACCCAACATTTGAAGTGATTTCTCTTGTGCACCCTCATTTGAATCACATTTCCAAAAGAAATCAGCACATTGAGATGTGAGCAAATAAAGGTTGCCGTTCATAAATGTTGATTGTGTTTATCTGTGCCTCCTTGGTGCAGTCACCAGCACTCAGCTGAGAGTTGCTGGTGCCACAGGAGAAAGCTGCAATGTCACACGAATCTGCTTTTCAAGTGAAGGACGTAATATGGGACTTGCAAACAGATCAGCCGTCAGCAAAAGAGAAAGCAGTAATGAGGGAAATTAACATTGGAGACATTAGGAAATTATTTGAAAAGGGGGAAGAATGATGCTTTAGAGGGAACTGACGCTTGTGTAGCACATGGAATTACATATTAAATTTCTACACGGTGAAGATGGTACTCATTAACATCACAGATTTTAAAACAGAGGATCCCCATGACTCTGATATCCGTTCATTCTCTTTTCCTTTCAAATGTCTACAAACTCTCTTTTCTCTCTCAGAAGGTACCTGTATATTGTGCTTCTTTGCTTCTATACCTCAGCTTGTATCTACAGAATATTCAGCTGGCACAGTGGAATTTCTCTGTGTGGAAATCTAACTGAAAGAAAGAGAGAAAGCCTGAGTTAGCATGACACAAATAGTATCAGGGTACACGTTGGTATAAAGAGAAATAAGATGTGGTTACATGTTGTTAATTTAATTCACATCAGAAAAGGAGCCTGAAAAGGTTACAGTTTTAGGATCACCTCAAGGGAAGCCAGCCAACTAGCGTTCTGCTTCTGTCCAGAAGACAGACTAGACAATTATGCCACAGCATCCCATTTGGAAGCAAGACTCTGCTCACACTGTGTGACAAAAGTCATTTACTCCTGGCCAGCTGTTTTAGAAGAGACCTTTCCATTCTTTCAAGTAAATATAGATCAGCTAAGGATTGAAAATCTATGTATAATATCTCTACAGAGCATGTTGAAACCTAGGGAAAAAAAAAGCAATGGTGTTTGTGTTCACAAATGTAAACACTTCACTGGGTAATGTTGATCCCAAGTCAGTGTATCAATTTGTATGTCATGGACTTTGACAACCCACAGCAAAAATCCTGTTAATTTGAGATCACAAAAGCCTGAGTAATAGTCTGAGCAGTCAAGTAACTGGTCTTTCAGTTCACTTCCTATTGTATGTAATGTATTTATCTAAATAAATCTCAGGCTTCCCATCATCCCCAACTATCAGAATATCCAAATTGATTCTGAAATAATCTTTCATTTAGCAAGTTCTTCCATAAATTTTTGTAATTAACTGAAACTAAGAGATGTAGGATCATTATTTTTAGCCTTTTTAGTTCTTACAGCTATCCCTTCTTTTAATAAAAAAGTTCTTACACTTACCTTTCTTGCTGTTTGGAGAAAAAAAAGCTTTGATGGTATTAAGGATGAGAGAACAGGCCCTACAAATGTGTGTGCATAAAGGGAAGCATTGTAAAGTGCCTAGTACGCTAACTCAGTGTAGAGATTCACTTTTTCAAGTGAAGGTACATGTAACAAGAAGAACTGTTTCCATACTACATGCTGATATTTCACATAATTACTGTTACCAATCATTTACAATATTGCTATTAATAACTGTAAAACTTAAGATGATAGTCTAACTCACACGTTAATATTGTTTTCACTACAACAGGGTCTCAGTTAAAATAACTGGCAAGTTAGCCCAGTAATACATAAAATTTAATCCAGTAAAGGTTCAGCTGAGACCTTGGTGTTCTAGATCCTTTACATAAGTATGGCAAGAAACCGTCAGTTTTCCAAAAGGCTTCTAATCTATGTAGGTAGAAGATGATGGGAGAGGAGTTTTCAGTTCCAGGGTGTAAAACAAGCACACTAAAAAGCAAAGTGAGGTAATGGGAGTCTTTCTTACCTCTGTGGGGTGATGAGTATGGTGTGCTAGAAGGGATTTATTGTATGCAGACGGTAAGTTGAAGAAATGAGTTTTGCTTTCAGTTCTGAATATGGATATTCACTCAGTGCAATGCTGCATGTCAGTCCTGAGGACGGTTTGTCTCTGCATTTAGGGATTTCACACTAGCAGCGCGCTTTGCTGGGGAGCGAAGTCCTAACTCTTTAGGGAGTTTTAGTGCAAAGGAGATATTGGGGGTGGGCTGAATGGGTGTCTAACAAGAAGAAAAGTTGTTAGTTGTATTATCTTCCTCCAAATAAGTTCCTAGTCTCGTGAGTGAATTGTCAGTAACAAGCTGTATAGGCCTGTAATTTCAGTGGAACATAGGCCTCTATTACCATCCTGAAGAAGGAATTAATCTGATATTTAATGGAAACTGTTTCATCACATTGCATTTTCACATCTAATCCCTGGCATTTCAAGCCAAATGAATTCCCAAAACTGAGTTTCCGTATTCCTTTCAGCTGAGTTGACAATAACACGCTGGTTGCTGTGAGTGTGATTTGCTTTGGTTTTGCAGAGCTGGGAGTTTGGAATCCCGCTGTGCAGAGAACTGGCCATGCAGTACGAAAGCCTCTATGATTATCAGAGCCTCAGCTGGATTCGGGTAAGTAGCAGCAGTTCCTCTCCTTGCAGACTCTCATGTCGTTCCCCAGGGAATTCAGCTCTCCTGTCAGAGCATTCTGAATTTAAAAAAGAAACATATTCCCTATATAGCTCCATGCATTTACACTGACTCCTTTGCCATCGATTCATTCTGATGACTCCGTAGGTCCACTGAAGTAATTTCTAAATCTGCTAGCAGTGAAATTCCATGAGTATGTGGAGACAGCACGCACGTAGGTGCTGGGTTTGCTATTGCAATTGCATATTTATACATACTTTTGTATAAAATATCTTTTTTCTCTTTTTCTAATGATGTATTGATATTTCATTTTCATTCTAAAAGTATCAAGGACAGCTTGTGCCTCAGGTGACATAAAGGAACAAGACAGAAAGAATGGAGAAGGCAGATGTTTATGGCATTCTTGTCAATTTACAGGAATCTGGTCCTCTGGTAAAACCAAACACGTGGTTAAATCAGGGTACATTTGCAGCATTGTGCTTTAGTCAGAAAAAGTCAAAGCTCTGGCTGTTATTTAAAAGCTTTATGAATGTGAAAATAGTTCATCTGCTTTTGTCCCCTGGGTAGCATGCATATGTCCAAATTTAAGATTTATGCTATGTGGATGTATTCTTATACACAGTGGTTTAAATTCTCTTTAAAAGTCAAACTTATTCTCATCTGAAGATACCCATCTAACTAGGTCGCAGGAACTGCACTTCTGAAGAACCTGTTTTCTTCAGATTGGCCCTGAAGAGAGTACTTATAGGTGAACATCTTGGGTGTGCGCCTGTTTATTGTGGACACCTAAAATAGGGCAGTGTGAAAATTTACCCTGGTGTACAGGAAATACTAAATCAGTAAAGTGATCGTGAATGATGACCTAACAAACCAATTAACAAGGATTAGTCAAGTTGTGCATCAAGGCTTTCTTTCCTAAAACAGCAGTAAATTAGAGTCTTACTGCCTCTTTATTATTAGGAGTTAATCAGCTGGCAGGTGAAGAGCAGCTCAGCTCATCAGTGTAAGCCATTCACCTCGTCCTTTCACTCACCTGTGTCTCATCTGTTTTCTGTTCAAGTCCCCTAAATCTGTGTTGACCTGAACTGACCTGAATTTCTCCCTGCTCCAAAGAGTTTTCTCTTTGCCATTCAGATCATTCAGTGCATTCCTCTATTCTTCCTGCAATGACTTTGGGACCGTCTCCATTTTAGAAAGGGAGTTATTATGTGTGGCAACCGAGAACAAAACCTTGATGCAATATTCTGAGCCAAAGCTGCTGTTAGGGCTCCCTGCAGTGGAAGCAATGACGTCAAACTGATTCTTCTCTTCAGAAAGCTGTCTTTTTGCTATAGTGAAATTCCTGTGAGACTTTCAACTGAGATTCAGTTTGGCAAGAGGTCTTGAAATCCGGCTCTTGATACAAATGCTGGCACAGTGCCACAAAATTAACAAATAGAGCTAGAGAAAAGTCCTTTTACTTTTTCCAAACGCCTTTTTTCTTCCATGTTAAACCTACTGGTGCACAGAGCTGCTGAAAGATTTAACTTTGTTTCATCCTTTTCCATGCCCCTCAACTCAATTAAGGCAAACCCAACTGAATTGATACAATTTTCCAGACAGTGCTACAGATTTTGAGCTGTAAGAGAGAACAGGACACTGTGAGCCAGGCGACATAGATCTTAATTGCAGCTTTGCCATTAATTCTGCAATGCAAAGAAAATTACATGCAAAACCTGTTTAATTTAAAATGAGATACAACAGAGAAATTTTTGTATGTCATCTCTAAAAATGTAAAATGAGCATGATACGACACTCTGTTCCAACATGTGGACTGTTTAATTAATAATTTTTATCTTTAAAATTTTGGTCTTTTCATAAAAAATTGTGGGGGCAAAAGAGTAATGTGATATTTAAACGTGTCTTGAGATTCTAATGTCTTAAGTGCAGCTTTACGGGTCTGATAGCAGCTATCTTTTTCCTCCGTAGAAAATGGAAGCTACCTATTACGATAACATCATGGAACAGCAGCGCTTAGAACCTGAGTTTTTCAGAGTTGGTTTTTACGGTCGGAAATTCCCTTTTTTCCTGCGGGTAAGCCAGACTTTTACAAAGCATGACAAAGTGACCGGGCTCAGAGCAGCAGTTAGGGCTTTGTCTTTTTGTCGTGGAGGTACGATGTCTGCCGTTAAGGTTATTTTTCTTATGCCTGCACAAGTAGGAACAGCTTTCTGGCTGAACTGAAGGATGTGGTCCACTGGGAACGTTCTTAGGAACAGAGATCAGAAATGTGACTCAAGCCTATGTGTATTTCTGACAATCCGCAGATGCAGCACAAATTGCCTCTATATTAAGCGAAATGCTGTATTGCAGCAGTGTTAGGCCATCACTCAACTAATTTTCATCATCTCAAATTATCACGCTTGAAAAAGCCTCACATGACAGAAGGATTCCAATACAGGCTGATGACTCTCTTACACTATCTACAAGTGAAAATTTCCTCTCTCCTCAATAGAAAAGCCTTGCAGCTTCTCTGGACACATCCTCACTTTGAGCTTATTGTCTGCTGATGTGTACAGGACTGGCTGGGTCTACAGTCCATTTAAAAAGTGAAATTATCTTCTTTTACTAATTAGGAATCAAACTTAAAGTGGATATTTGTTCATACGTTGTCTTGTTGCTAGTTCAGAGCCAGGAAGGAATATAATTTGACAACTGCTGTACAAACTGTCTGAAAATTGATAGCAGATGCCATCTAGCTTGACAGGACAAGCTAACCTGAAGTGTGCTTTCAAGGACTGGAGGTGCATATTTTGTGTTCTCTTTAAAGAAATGGTTTGACAAGAGATGGCACCACTCGGGAGTTACAAAGTAAGATGCTACAAAAAGCCAAACTGTGTACCATTTTGAAAATTGCACTCTTAAATTTCCCTCTGATGCTATTTTTTTTTTTTTAACTAGGATTTAAACTTTGATGTTTAATTACATTCTTTTAATGGAAACACAGGCGGGGGGAGTAAAGGCAAGTCGGAATTAATCAAGGTGAAAATACGAGTGGAAAAAGGGTGGCTTCATGTTATTCAAAGGTGAAGCTGAACAGTGCCATAATGCAGCAGCTTGAATTTATGTGCAGAACACATGTGCAGAGGAATCCAAGGAAATGAGAAGTGTTGCAGCATGAAGCGGTAGCTACCCTTTCATGAAGAACTCCAGAGAAGTATCCATTTTTGTATCTAACAACAGATGTTTCAGAAAATGAATGACAACAAAGTCATTATGGCACATAAGCGTTCCTACATTTGAAATAATATCAGTGAATCTAGCTTATCTTATTGTATTATGGATCCTACAGTTTTATCTTGGATCTTGCACGTCCTGTGTGTTTAACACTACACAAGTTTTCAGTGCACAGCACTTACTCTTTGCAAAACGGTGTAACAATATGGATACTTGGCTGGAAACGTTAAAGGCGAACATGAGCATACATAATTATAATCCTTGTTAATTCTGCAATTATATTTGGTAGCAGTACTTCTGATAGCAGATTACTAATGTAGCAATCTCATTAGAAGTCATCCTCCTCCTTTCTCTCCCTAATGATCCGTACAGCACACACATTGCAAAGCACAGACTAAGCCCATTAGCAATCACATCAGCATGGATCACACTGTAAAGAGATTGGAAGCAGCTATTCTAGAGAAGAAAAAGATTTACATGGATTTAAAATTTTCAAATGGATATGGGAGTGATTTAAAGTTATCAAATAACTCTCTGCCCTTTTCTCATTTATTTTTCTATTGCTATATAGCCTAAGACAGAAAATAACCACTTCTTTCTGCATCTTTGATTTTGAAGACCCTTTGTCTAGAAAAGTCATTGTTCACGTCTCTCAGATTTCTGCATCTATGTCTAGCCTTCCTACATTAAGTGAATTAAAACCGTCCATGTCTTCCACCTACCAGAAGATCAAGTAAGGCCTGACAACCTGTTCTGAGATCTTGTGTTGGCATCTGTCTGAAAAATCTATTAAATTTAGCTTTGAGGGTTTTTCAGGGCATTATTTTTAGAATCACAATGACTTTATTTATAGGCTTACAGTTTTCTGGATTGCTGCAATCAAAAGCTAAAAAAGAGAATGCATACTGTGCGATAAAGAGATTCACCTTCAAACATGGACTCACTCCAAATTTAAGAATAGCTGCAAAGTTTGGGCATTACAAACTGAACTGTCAAGATTCATCATGCAGTTTTTCTCCCAGTTCATTGGCTGCTGTGACTGATGCATACAAAGTGACATATGTCACAGCTGGAAGACAAGTTCTGTTTCGTAATGTTGAAATGCAAAGCCAAAGATAACTGCACTCCTTGGCCGTGTTTTATAATCGGGTTTTGCTGCTTTTTCTTTCATTTTGCTACAAGATGGAGAAATGCTCGGCCAGAACCATTTTCCAGAGCAGTGAGCAAAACATCACTGCTTATACTGCAGCTTCTGAATGCAAGAAATAGGAGGCAGGGAACTGTTCTCCTTTGCCTGGATTCTTTCTTTGTTTTATGAAAGTGAGAAATTTCCCTGTACTTCTAGTTACTGTTATGTGTATGGGAGTTAAAACTGCCGGATTTAGAGAATTTGCCTGCTTTGATTGGTCTTGCCTCAGGAGACATTAACACCCATCAAAATTGTGGTTTGTGGCAATGCACTTGAGACACTGGAATACAATCTGTATGACACGGAGGACTTCAGAAATCCTGTATCTTGCTGTTCAAAGTTTGAGATGGCTCAAAAAGCATCCAAGAACTCTGCACAAGTGGTTCGTGCCTCAAAAGGCATATCTAAACACAAGCCTTCCATTAGTGGCAGAAACATAATTCTGTTCATCAAGAGGAAAGTGCTTTTAGGGCTGAAGGGGAATTTGCAAAGTAGCCACTGAGAATTCTTGGGAAGGCTTTTCCATATTACTCCACTATAGACAGGGGAGTTCCTGAGGATGTATTGTTCAGCATGATCAGAGGTGGACTGTATGGCTATGACAATACAACAATGATTAAACAGTAATTTTTGTGAACAGTTTGTTATGACTTCTAAGGATAACTGCTAAACTGATAAACACATATCTCCCTCTGTTCTGTGAAATCCTCAGGACTTCTATCCATCTGGTGTAAACTGTATTTTACAGCAGCTTTCCCAGTGAACAGCCGAGCTGGTGACTTAGCCTGAAGTTTAGGCTGATACATTTCAGTATAGTCCAATTAAAAAATAGTCCCTTGTCAGTTGTTTGAAAAGCAAATGGAAAAAGACAGTAGGACCAAATGCTACGTACATATGGATCAGAGGCATCTTTCTGTTGAGAGATCAGTGGAATAGTCTAGTTATTCATCACTTCTTGATGAAATACATTGTACAGAAAAACGAAGGAATAAAATATATCTGCTGTGTTAAATGCACATTTCACTCTCACATTAGCATATGGACATTGTCATTTACCTTTGGCTTTGAAGCAGTAAAATTTAAAGTGAGATAAAAGCCCATAAAATTTAACTTACTTTTAAGGAGACTAATCTATGCCTGTACTTCTTGCAGAACAAAGAATACGTATGTCGGGGCCACGACTATGAGAGGCTGGAAGCCTTCCAGCAGAGGATGCTGAGTGAGTTCCCACAAGCCATTGCAATGCAGCACCCAAACCACCCAGATGACTCCATACTGCAGTGTGATGCCCAGTGTATCCTTCAGCAAAAGGGCAAACTGTGGTTAGAGTAATGGTGGTAGAGGACAGAGGAGGAAGGTATCAAAAAGGTCATCTACTTGGATACCTCAGTTCCTAAGTGTCTTGGGTAGAACTGGATATGGACAGAACCACGCGCCTGTCTACAGCAGACGTTAACTGGTTCATGGCACTATGTATTGCTGGAGAGAACTGTCACTTTTTATTCAGGGAGTAATGCAGGTGGTATTCAGTGTGTAAGGGAAATAGCTGTCCTTGGTCACATCTGTGTTTTAACCTGTACCAACAGAGTTGCCATAAAGCACATTTTCTGTCATTAGAAGTATCCCCGATACCGTCTCTTCGAGAACATTTTGTTGGGAATAGATATTAATTTCAAAGTGTTATTTTCCATTGTGTTTATTTTTCACATCGTTATTATTTTTTTGTGGTCTCCCTTTCTTTAAACTGCTGAACTCTTTTATACCTAAGGCTTTGAATCTCCTTCTTCCCACTGGTAATCTGGACTGTGATTTAACGCAACCAGTCCACTGCCATGTACATTTAAGGACTGAGCCACAGAACATTTAATACGTCTGCACAGACTTTTGAAGATTTTAATCATGAGAACACCAATGTTCAGCTTGTGTGACAACCACAAGGATACTGCGCAGGGCTTTAACCATAAGGACGTTGTCAGCAAGTGACATCTCCCGAAATTGGTTGGTGTTTCCCACTTGTCTTCATAACAGGTGCTTTTCCCTCTCCTTTGCTATATAACGTGGATACTTCCATAGACAGAGCTTGTTTGTATGTGTATTTTGGTTGGTTGTTTTACGCTTGCAGAGATCCTGTCTGTAACACTGAGGTTAAACCAGTTTAATGAAACTGAACTGTAAATTCATGAAATTAGGACAACTTTGGTTTGTAGACAAAACTGAAGTATCTTAAGAGGAAATTTATCGAAGATAAATATTAGGTATTTAGGTACCTAAATACGTCAAGATCTACTAAAGTGCCTGCACAAATGAGGCACCTAGCTCTAATTAAAATAGGAACTGGGTATTTTGCCTGCTGTAGATATTTTGGATGTCTCACTACATACTCTCTGCATCCTCAGGTATCTTCCTCTTTGGTTAATCCGGCTGTGAGGTACTATAACTCCATAGACTCTCCTAGTAGTTCTAGTTGAGTCTCCTGCTGTTTCACTGGCAAAAGAACAGTGTTGGAAAACAGAGGAGCATGCCTTTCTGAATTCACCATCCTGTTTATTTCCACAGCAGAGATAGCTTTCCTGTTCAATGTCCTGTGGCTTTCTTTAACTACATAATCTACAGATCTACAGATCTATGCAGTGACTCCCATCCCAGACAATATAGATGTGTTGCAAATGGACCGTGTCCCTGATCGCATAAAGAGCTTTTACCGAGTCAACAACATCCGGAAATTCCGCTACGACAGGCCTTTCCACAAAGGCCCAAAGGACAAAGAGAATGAATTTAAGGTAGAAATAGTGAATAAGGAGTGTTTAAGTGTTAATATCCTCAAGGCGAATACTGTCTTATTATTTTATGCTGATATAGCCTTCACGTAATCCTGTTTTGATGGCCAGATACTGTAGTAACTCAAATAACAAGTAGCTGTTGAGTCCGATGGTTACACACCTGACTTGATTAAAGCATTGTCCAGTTTAAAGGTGAGTTATTTTAGTGCCAGGAGAAATGTGTTTCGAAGCAAGGATGAGGTTTTTTTGTTTGACTGGAATTTTTTTCTTACTGCCACATTTTTCCATAATGTCTTCGTGGTTCCCATGACAGAATTGGTGGTCAACCTTTAACAATTAATGGAAATGTTGAAGGTGTTGCCTTAGAGCATACTGAATTCTGGTCTTGTTGTTCAGGTGACTTCCAGCATGACATTCTGCAAAGTAAGTTAATGCTCAGGAGGTTAATATGTTCTTGTTAGAACTTTATGCCCTTAGCACCTATAGTAAGAGTACAGATGTTGTGATTGTGATTTCACTGTGTACCTCACATCCTCAATTACTCTTTGCAGAGCTTGTGGATTGAACGTACCACTCTGACCTTGACTCACAGTTTGCCTGGGATCTCTCGTTGGTTTGAAGTGGAGAGAAGAGAACTGGTAATGTTCATAGTTCCTGTAATTGGGGTGTGAAATGATGAGTTACTGAGGACACAGGATAGGCAACTTAAAACTCCTTTGGCTGAAATCTTGCAGTTTAAAATGATGAAGTTTACCAATGATTAAGTATGTTGTTTTTCCACCACTTAGTCTAAGTAATTGCTGAATATAACCAGGGGAATTCTGTGAGGGAACACGACAGTGTAATGGAGACAGTGCCAAAAAGATGGAATAGTCCATGTCTTCAGTGTACAGAAAGAAGTTATCACAACTCAGTGACCTGAAATACAGCATTGCCAACAGTAAAGTTTGTTAACATAGCTAATTTTCTGCAAAGCAGTAAAAAGTAAGTGAGATCACTGAACAATCCTAGAGTATCATTTCATTACAAGGAAGATAATAAATCTCAGTGATGTGTCCACGGAATTAAAGTATATTTTATTGCCTTTGAGGTTGAAGTCAGTCCTTTGGAAAATGCCATTCAAGTGGTTGAGAACAAAAACCAGGAGCTGAGGACACTGATAAGCCAGTACCAGCATAAACAAATGCATGGTAACATTAATCTTCTCAGCATGTGTCTGAATGGAGTGATTGATGCAGCTGTTAATGGGGGAATTGCACGATACCAGGAGGTAAGCCAGGCTCTGCTTCTGAATTCAGTATCATATTTTTTCAGTTTTATTTCCATTTCTGTTTCAAAGAGAGTATGACTTAATAAGACAAGACATTTTCACGCACATTATCTAAATATGAGGTTAAACCCCCTACTTGGTTACTCTGCATCAGTGCTTGCATAGCCGCATGTCAACAGGAGGATCCAGAGGTGGAGCTGGGATATCACACTGAAGTAGGTACAGGTGACAGTGGGGTTTCTCAAGAATGAAACTTGGCTTAGCTGGAAATCCTGACTTGGCAGGTAAAAGAGTGAAGCAGGGTTTTTTTTTTTACTGCTTACATTATAAATACATTTTGCAGTAGAGGCAGTGGGACTTCTGGTAATTGAGACTGATTGGGCCTGTAATCAGGAAAACCTGCTAATTCGTGCTACGCAACCAGTATCTTTGTTAGCCTAATTTCAGACTCGCTGTAACCCTAAAATGATTGTACATGCAGTATGTTACCTGGCATCATCTTTGGTAAGCTGTTTACTTAGTCTGCATTGCAAAAGGTAAGTCTAGGGTGAAATACTGAACAATGGCAGCAGCGGTCAAAGGGTGTGGGACACATCTTCGCTACAGAGCCATGAAGAGAATACTCCTCATGCTGTACATTAGTTACCACTTTACTCAATTCCTTTAACTTTAGGCAGTTATGTGAAGGAAACTATATAACATTGGAGTAACAAGATGATACAGGACTTAGTGGCATTGCTCATCCCTGTTACATGGGGAAACTTGGTCAGATTCATGATCAGAATCATCAAGGTTGCTGAAACTACTGTAGCTTTACCTGGATCCCAGAGTGCTAAAAGCGATAAAATTGAGCTACTGCTGTTAGCTTAATATATTTAGTTTTCCTAAGATTTTTGGAACTTTTCCTCTCATCCTTTGACACCAAGTTATGATGAAATATCTTTCAGTAAGCAGAAGGCACTTTTTTTTTTGATAAAGATTATATCACAAAGCACCCTGGAGACGCAGAGAAGATCACACAGCTCAAGGAACTCATGCAGGAACAGGTACCGGTTTTCAGATCCAAAAGAACATTCCTACAGTGTCTGGATTCATCAGCAGTCAGTCTAAACGAATCAGACCCAACTGATTCATTCAGAAACAAAGAATTTTGGTACAGGAGATATAAAGTACATACAAACAAAAAAGAGGGGAGATGGCCGAGGTGTTTCTGAACAAGCCGTTCACCTTGGGATGTGAGGTGAAGCTCAGCTGAAAGTACATTAATTGCTGTTGTCCCCATTTATTATCCAAGAGCCATCTTGCCACATTTCAAGCCAGTCATTCGTTTTTGGCATTTTGAATTATGTCTTCTCAGTAAATTTCAGAGATAATCAGAGTTGGGAGAGGCCAAGTCAGGCTTGAGACTAAACTGGCAGAGCTACATAGGAAAACTTAATGCTTATTTATATTATCTACAGTTTTATTCTTCCTTAGCATCTCCATGAAACATCTTTGTAGATAAAGCTAGCTGGATGCTTTGATGGGTGCGAAATCAGAAAATCACATCCCTCTTAACTGAAAGTTTGGCAAGATACACCCCATTAAATGACGTGTCCAAGTCTCAATACAGCTGCTAGGCCTGTTTCTTCAACAGATCACTTAACTGCATTTCAGATTTCCCATCTGTAAAATAAAGATAATGCTTATCTCCATTCAATCCTCCAGAGGATGTCAGAAGATTAATTAGTTATTGTTTGTACAGATTTTGGATC